GGGGCCAAAAATAAGCATTTTTCTAGTTTCCAGACAATAACTGTGTTCCAGTGTATGAATCTCTCTGAAATTGTACTGCAAGGTACCATACCATAAAGGGAAGGCTAGGATTGATTTTGGGGGTAATTGCCTCAAAATTTTAGGAATTAGGGGCCAAAAAGGGGCAAAAAAACAAGCATTTTTCTAGTTTCAGGACAATAACTTGTGTGTAAGTGTATGGATCTTTATGAAATTGTACTACAAGGTTCCATATCACAAAGGGAAAGCTGGGTTTGAGTTTGGGGTTAATTGCCCTAAACGTTAAGGAATTTGGGGCCAAAAAGGGACCAAAAAACAAGCATTTTTCTAGTTTCATGACAATAACTTGTGTTCAAGTGTATGGATCTCTCTGAAATTGTACTGCAAGGTACCATACCACAAAGGGAAGGCTGGGATTGAGTTTGGGGTGATGAATCATAAGGGAGTTCAAAAAATTTGGGGGGGGGGATTTTTTTTTTTAATTTTTTTTCTTTAAAATTTGTTAGTTGGTTATTTCTGATTTATATATAAAAGCAAATAATAATGATATGGTTTGAATAGGTAAATTAAATTTTTAGCTCACCTGGCCCAAAGGGCCAAGTGAGCTTTTCTCATCACTTGGCGTCCGTCGTCTGTCGTCGTCGTCGTCCGTCGTATTCTGTTATCGTTAACTTTTACAAAAATCTTCTCCTCTGAAACTACAGGACCAAATTTGACCAAACTTGGCCACAATCATCATTGGGGTATCTAGTTTAAAAAATGTGTCCGGTGACCCGGCCAACCAACCAAGATGGCCGCCATGGCTAAAAATAGAACATAGGGGTAAAATGTAGATTTTGGCTTATATCTCTGAAACCAAAGCATTTAGAGCAAATCTGACACGGGGATAAAATTGTTTATCAGGTCAAGATCTATCTGCCCTGAAATTTTCAGATGAATCGGACAACCCATTGTTGGGTTGCTGCCCCTGAATTGGTAATTTTAAGGAAATTTTGCCGTTTTTGGTTATTATCTTGAATATTATTATAGATAGAGATAAACTGTAAACAGCAATAATGTTCAGCATAGTAAGATCTACAAATAAGTTAACTTGACCAAAATGGTCAGTTGACCCCTTAAGGAGTTATTGCCCTTTATAGTCAATTTTAATACAAGTAAAAAATTAGTCGTACTATCTTCTTTTCTTGAATTTCTCATTACTTCTTTGCTCTAATAGAGTTGTTAATTGTCTGTCCTTTGCAGATGTCTTTACTAATCATTTAAGTGTAATTTCATGGACAATGAAAATCTCATTTGTCTGTTATCTTCAGAACACTGCTCATTTACAAGCCACCAAGGGGTAATTTTTGAAGGCCTTGCACAATTACTTAAGATCTTTGCGCAATTAGTTTCTTTGTTGAATTAATGAGATGAAACATTGAACTCTAATCAAAATTTATGAGTTAACCTGAGAAAAATTGTTAAAGGCATGTTTCTACATCTCAAAACTTGAGAATTTTAGGGATTGTAAAAAAAATTTACTTATACAAGTAAACTTTTGAGAAAATTAAGGGGAGATTATTCAAACATTATAAGAAAAAATGAACATAACAATATTTACTTATAAAAGTATATTATTATTTACTTCTTCAAGTAAATAAAGATTACTTGTACAAGTAGTACCCCTGACTGGATTACAACAATGGGATTTAGCAGACTGGCAGATGGAATTCCACCCCCAGAAATGTCAGCTGCTTAGGGTTACTACTAAAAGAAAAATTATACCAGCGAATTATAAAATACATGGACATGTACTCAAAGAAGTCCGCAGCAAAATACTTGGGGGTTACTATACACAAAATCTCAACTGGAACCAACACATTAGCAAAATTATGAAGAAGGCTAACTAAACCAAAGCATTTCTCCAACGAAACATCAGAAGCTGCCCTAGCCAAACTAAAGGTGTAATACCACCAAATCATAGTACGTCACATCCGGTTGCATACGAAAATAGGTCGAAAAAAAATATTCCCTTGAATTTGACAGTTGTAGGTAATTGATCCTACATTTCATTGCAGTAAAACATTTCTGAGTCATAAACATATACCTTGGGTATTTCAAAGCACCATCATTTCTTTATTTGGAGTTTCTATAGAATATTTTGGAAACTTGAGGTTACATGGTTACTAAAGCTTGTACACAGGTTAAAAAAGGGGGAAAATTTGATTGGTTAACTTCCAGTGATGGTTATTTTCTTATATGCAATGAAATGTTATGTGAAATTTTTTCTATAGTACTGGACAGGATAAATCTTTACTCATGCCAAGTATTTCTTTATTTGAAACAAAGATAAATTCTGCACAATTTTTTGAAAAGTGCAAATTTAACAAAGACTAATAGGGGAAAATCAATGGTGGTATTACACCTAATATGGGAAGCTGTACATGCACCTTTGACCTTGTGAGTACTCTCATGTGTTAAAATTTCTTGCTATTTAAGTGAAATATTACAAATAATGAAATATTCTGAGTGGATTGAGTCTCCAAAATACATTTTATGAGAAAATTTCCTTGAAATAGGACTTTACCATGAATATTAGTTGACAGAACAAGCCATACTTAGAGTTTTGGGGAGCTTTTTCTCCTTATTTCTTATATTCTGCTATACTAGAAAATTTTTCCTAAGAAATACTTTAATAAATATATAGTTTTAAGTAAATGAAATTATTTTTAAAGCAGTAACAGCAATTTATTCACCAAAAAAGAAGTTTTTTATGTCCCTCTCTGGAACGCGGCGTAAATTTAAGTTTTACGTAAGGACTTATTGAAACCTCCTTGGAGACAGTAAACTTTTATACGGATAGTTCATTCAGCTTGAATACTTCAATTAATCATTTATAATAACATTTCTATCATAAATGAGTGAAAATTACCCCAAAATTTTTATTTATTGGCCTAAAAAGTAGAAATTTTGAGGAAATGAGAGGTATAAATGGACCAAAAGAGACCTTATTAGGAAGACAAAGAGGTCCATTAGTAGTATTTATCATCCTAAAGTCATCTTTTGTATCATATTCAACTGTTTGTAGGCAGATGAGATAAATATTTGATCATTTATTGGTCCACACTATATTCTATCATGATGCGGCTTGGTTTGGATTTTTCGAAGAAATTTTGCTTGAATCGCTGTAGATGTCGTCTTACATTATACTAAATTTTTCTCAAACTATTGAACTGATTATGACAAAACTTGACAGGAATGCTTGAAATAACCAGTATTACATAGGAAAAAAGTCACATTCATTTAATTTAACAAAAAAGTCTTCTTTAGGTGTAATACCACCAAATCATAGTACGTCACATCCGGTTGCATACGAAAATAGGTCGAAAAAAAATATTCCCTTGAATTTGACAGTTGTAGGGAATTGATCCTACATTTCATTGCAGTAAAACATTTCTGAGTCATAAACATATACCTTGGGTATTTCAAAGCACCATCATTTCTTTATTTGGAGTTTCTATAGAATATTTTGGAAACTTGAGGTTACATGGTTACTAAAGCTTGTACACAGGTTAAAAAAGGGGGAAAATTTGATTGGTTAACTTCCAGTGATGGTTATTTTCTTATATGCAATGAAATGTTATGTGAAATTTTTTCTATAGTACTGGACAGGATAAATCTTTACTCATGCCAAGTATTTCTTTATTTGAAACAAAGATAAATTCTGCACAATTTTTTGAAAAGTGCAAATTTAACAAAGACTAATAGGGGAAAATCAATGGTGGTATTACACCTAAAGCACTTTGCTAGCAGACACTTATAAGACCATTAATGGAATACTCATGTACCATCTGGGACCAGGCAACTAAGGATAACAAATACAAACTAGAATCAGTGCAGTTCTTCCCCAACACAATCCGAATCTGGAATGGACTACCAGCATCCTTAGTAACATGCACAACCCTTGAGTCATTCAAACAAGGTGTGCAAGGCATCCAGATATGATAGATAGTGAAGTTGTTTTTAGCCAGATTTTAATGGAGCACAACTGCACTGTATATATATATATATATATTTATATGCACGTTTTCCACAATGTTTTCCTCGCATTGAGTATGTAAATAGTCAACGGTATGATAATACCCCCCTTGGAGGCCTGTACTTAACCGGAAGAAGAAGAAATAATATGTAAAAATAAAATTGGGGTATGAATTTTTGGGTAAAGTAGTAATTTGGTCCAGTTTGAAAAGGTCAAAAATTAGTAGGTCTGAAGCTGTCAGACTGAATTATCGACACTGTAACATTAAATTGTCCATATTTTGAGTTAGAGCCGATAGACTTTTCTATAATTTTGATATAATTGTCCCAAAAGTAGTATACTACACTGCAAAAATCTTTATTGGATAGAGCATGTGCGATTTTTTTAAATTTGCGTTTTTTGTCTAAAAGAAATGTACTACGAAATAACTGTGTTCTCAGGCCTTCTGTATTTGGAGCAATTTTCTGGTTTAGCTTACTTTTACTTAACACAGTTGCACATAGATGAAATGCTGGTCAAAGTTTTAATTCTTGTCAGATTTTGCTAGTCTGTAAAAGTTTTAGCAAAGTTAAAGAGCTATTGAAATGAGCATGATGAGTTTGCTATTATATTAAATTTTATTTAGAAAACATGACCTATCAACATGATCAACATGGTAAAACACATAATAAGATAAAGCTAAATCATTCTTGTATCAGAAACAATTTTGTAGTAAGAATAGGATACAGTCGAATGTCAATGTTCTTAAACAGTCTTTTTCTGCCTATGTGAATAGTAAAAATTTTGATAAACTCAGTGATCAGGGCATATAATGTTACCCATGTCAATCATTCCTTGCTTCTGTCAAACAGAAACCCCATTAATTGATATAAAATTAATTTGGCATTCAAATGATCATTTTATACATGTTAGTGCAACCTTGGAATTGTAAAAAAAATAAAATTTTCCATTTATTTATTTTCAGATGAAGAGAATAATGTCACAATGTTTGCATCTGATGAGATTACAGTCTACCAAACCTTTACAGAGACCAAGAATAGATCCATACATAAAAAGTGGACTATTTAATGAGGGAGGAATTATATTATTGGTACAGTACAAGTATTATTGTAGGCATGGAAATTTCAAGGATGGGTTTGATTACTTTAAAATGTAATAGATTAAATTACAATTACTTTGCTAATTTGATGACTAATGTAATCGATTACATTACAATTACCCCTAGATTCAAATGTAATTGATAACATTACAATTACTCCTCGATTCAAATATAATCAATTACATTACAATAACCCCCTAGATTCAGATGTAATTGATTACATTATAATTACCCCCTAGATTCAAATGTAATTGATTACATTACAATTACCCCTAGATTCAAATGTAATCAATTACATTAGATTACTTTCCTTTAAAGTAATCATGATTACTTAGGATTACTTACGATTACATTGTATACTGTGATATTAAAAAATATTTTATAAACTTTTTTATCCTTTCATAAAAAAGCTACTCTTTGTGAAAAATTTTGTTTTTTTTAAAGACATGTATTTTAATTATATTCATGTTATTAAGAACTTGGACATGGAGCAGTGTAACATGTGTATTGTTTGATAGCATAGACGAGTATCATTTCTCTGATAAAGAAATAACACTGTTTTTATAATTTTTTTTAGCCCATTTAAAAAATAAACCTGAACAAATACATGAATAATGTCATAATGACCCCACAGACAATAAGACTACTTGATCATTAATTTACACATACATATGTTTTTACAGGTGTTAATTACAGCTTCATTTTTTTAGCTCATCAGGGCCCGAAGGGCCCCATGTGAGCTTATGCCATCACTTGGCGTCCGTTGTCTGTCGGCGTCGTCTGTCGGCTTCGTCTGTCGTCGTCGTCTGTCGTTGTAAACTATTTCAAAAATCTTTTCCTCTGAAACTACTGGGCCAAATACCTTCAAACTTTAACTAAATGTTCCTTAGAGTATTTAGTTTATAAATTATATCCGAAGTTTTGATCCATCGACAAACATGGCCGCCATGGCTAAAAATAGAACATAGGGGTCAAATGCAGTTTTTGGCTTATATCTCAAAAACTAAAGCTTTTAGAGCAAATGTGACATGGGGTTTAATTGTTCAATTGGTCAAGATCTATCAGCTCTGAAATTTTCAGATGAACCGAACAACCCATTGTTGGGTTGCTGCCACCGAATTGGTAGTTTTAACAAAATTTTGCAGTTTTTTGTTATTATTTTGAATATTATTATAGATATATATAAACTGTAAGCAGCAATAATGTTCAGCAAAGTAAGATCTACAAAAAATTTTATATGACCATAATTGTCAATTGACCCCTTAAGGAGTTATTGCCCTTTACACAATTTGTTCATCAAGTTTGCTAACATTTAAAAATCTTCTCCTCTGAAACTACTGGGCCAATTACCTTCAAACTTTAACTAAATGTTCCTTAGGGTATCTTGTTTATAAATTGTATCCGAAGTTTGTATCCATCGACAAATATGGCCGCCATGGCTAAAAATAGAACATAAGGGTCAAATGCAGTTTTTGGCTTATATCTAAAAAACTAAATCTTTTAGAGCAAATGTGACATGGGGTAAAATTGTTTAATTGGTCAAGATCTATCGGCCTTGAAATTATCAGATGAATCGAACAACCCATTGTTGGGTTACTGCCACAGAATTGGTAGTTTTAACAAAATTTTGCAGTTTTTTGTTATTATTTTGAATATTATTATAGATATATATAAACTGTAAGCAGCAATAATGTTCAGCAAAGTAAGATCTACAAAAAAGTTAATATGACCAAAATTGTCAATTGACCCCTTAAGGAGTTATTACCTTTTAAAGACAATTTTACACAATTTGTTCGTCAAGTTTGCTAACATTTAAAAATCATCTCTGAAATACAGGTGAGCGATTCAGGCTCTTGAGAGCCTCTTGTTTGACAAACAATAGATAAGCTTGGGTATTAAAAATTAATTGTCTAAATTCTTAATTAAGTTATAAGAGTTTATTTTCATTTTGTATATGAAAAATTTCCAGACCTGATATGCTTAGAACATGTAGAAAGCACATATCAAATATGTATGGAAAACAAAATTTATACAAATTGTAAAAAAAAAGAAAAGAGTTTGGTTCTAAATTTCAGTGTTATTTCAGTAGGCTCATTTATGTCTATGATCAAAGTAAAAATTGGATTCAAATCCCCCAAACTTATGTTCTATGCTATTGAAGAATGTCCATGTAGTTATAACTTATTTTTGTGTAAACTAAAATTGGAGAAAAAATCAGAAGGGAACACCAAATGTTTTCAAAGCATATTCTTGTATCACATGGACTCAATCTCACAATGAAACATTTGGACGCCAATGGACGGTAAATTCATTTAGTGAACTGTTTACAAAGTAAATCACACATTTTCACTCTACATGTCCAAGATTGGTTTTACAAAACTTGTTATATAGAAGATAGGATCAATCAAAGTAAATACTTATTTGATGATTTTTTTATTCATGCTTGTATATCAAAAACTATTTCCATATACAAAATTTGTAATCAGCAAGTAATCATATGAATGTAATCTAAAAGTAATCATGATTACACCAGTTTTTTTTACATTGTAATCGATTAAATTACAATAACATGTAATCAGAAATTACAGGATTACTGATTACATATGATTACATTGTAATGTAATCAATTACAGATGATTAAAATTACTAATAACGATTACCCAATACCTGCATGGAATGCCAGTTTATAGAAATACCACTTTTTCAATTGATTTGATACCTGTATGTAACTATCAAGCTTCCTATATTTAATGTGACATACTTAAATAGACTTATCACCAGGTTTGTACTTATATTAGCATGATTAACAACACAACGGGTGCCACATGTGGATCAGGATCTGCTCACTCTTCTTGAGCACCTGAGTTCACCCCTTGGTTTTTGGTGGGGTTTGTGTTGCTCAGTCTTTAGATTTCTATGTTGTGTTTTGTGTACTGTTGTTTGTCTTTTGGTCTTTTTCTTTTTTTGCCATGGTGTTGTCAGTTTATTTTCCACTTATTAGTTTAGATGTCCCTTTGGTATCTTTCGCCTCTCTTCTTAAACAGAACATTGTCATTGTAGTTGTATAATTTTTTTTTTGGTTGAAACTGTGTTAAGTCTAGGATAACATGATTTATTTATTTAAACTATGTCAGTACATTGAGCAAAGGAATAAATATTCTAATGGGGATAATTTCCATATGACTGATAAATTTGTTAAATTATAAAATCAATATATTTCTTAAGGCAGGGTTGGTTTATGTACATAAGAATAAAGATGAGTGTTTGAAAAATGTTAAGCAGGCACAATGACTCAGTCAGTTCAAAGGTGCAGGGATGCAGTTAGCCCATAAAACATTTACATGTTAGTACAAATCAGTGTATAGTAAACATGGTAAAAGAGTTTTACTCTGGTAATGGAAATGATATGAATCAAACGTATTACGGTACATGTAGGAATGTTACTGTAAATTCCGAAATTATTGCGTGCATTTATTTTTGCGAATTTGGAAGAATGGACTAAAATGGACTAAAATGCGAAATTTATTATTGCTATTTCACGAAAATCTGAATACAGTTATATGTATATATCTATAGCTATATGTATCAGATATCAGAATGCGAGTTCTTATTATTGCCATACTCTTTCCGTCGCATTATTCGCATTAATAAGAACCTCGCAATAATTTCTGAATTTACAGTAACATTATTCAAATTTCTCATTGTTATGATGTCTAAAATACATGTTGTTTCTGCATTTTTTTCAGACTGTCCCTGTAGCAGCTTTCTGTCTTGGAGTATGGCAAATTCAGAGACGTCTAGAAAAGTTGGAGCTCATAAAAAGTTTAGAAGAAAAAACAGGAAATAATCCAGTTCCTCTTCCCAGCAAGTATGAAACATGATTTTGTTCTCCATTCAATGCCTGTACTTTGCCATTATGTAAATAGAATCATGCATAAATAAATCCCATATTTTGATGTGATATTTTTGTTGCATAATACAATGTAACATGCCACAAAGTGTGTCAATTGAAAAAATTGTCTTTGAATTCAGGATATGATCCAAAGTTTCTGTGGAGGACACTGTTAGATAATGAACTTGATAATTGAGGCAGAAATCCAAGTGATTGTAATTAATGGTATTGTTAAAATATGGGATTCACAGATAAGGCACACACAAAAATATATTGTGTATCTGGTTTCAATTTGGTTCGATTTTTTTATTTGTCAATTTTTTTTATTGAACATTATATTTGTATAATTGTGGAATATAAACAAAATGGATAGGATGGAAGCATTTTCAACCTGTTCAGAATATTGAACAACATTTTGGTAATGTTTTTATTTTGTGATTCTGATATGATACGTAGAAATACCTATATAAACAATGTAATTGGTCGGCCTCATTTGGTCATATAAACATCTAGTTTGTTCCTGCTGAATGATATCTCATGTTTAAGTTACTGGTTTATATGTTGGAGTTCTTAGATACTAAGTGACATACTTTTATACAATTTTATGTCTGTTCCAAAAATTTACTGTAACTAAAACACAGTCTTCTCTGTGTTAGATTTAGTCTTTAATTCCAAGTTTATTTCTCAAATACCAAGTGACCTATGTTCAGCTGCCTATATATATATATGTTGATATAAGATACTGTGGATTTATTTGTTTGTCGTGGGTACTTATTTGTGTGGATTAAGGCAAAATTGAGTTTTCATGGATATCTGTTTTACAAGTCTGCATACAAGCCTATAGAAAATTGACCTCCTTTGAACAGTTGAAGAACATTTTAGATATGTAGTTCACCTGTACCCTAGAAATCCATGAAAATTGGTATCCCATTAATGATAATAATCCACAGTAGTCATGGTACTGTTGGAATGGATGTATAGAAACATATTGCCTCCACTAAAAGTAAAGTACCCAGTCATGGATAAAAGGGATTATAGGAAATGAAGCTGCAACACAGCACAACCAGAAAGATGAAAATACTATTTTGTATAAACAATAGCCTAAAGCTTCTCAGACTTCAGTTTAATATTATTTCTCAAACATTTTTTTAAAATCTTGTCATGAGGCCTTTGACTGGATAAAATGACTGATTTCAACCTAAATTCCATGTACATGATATAGGGTTCTCAGTAAGGCGAGTAAATGAGTCCTGTACTCATCATTTTCAAAACTTGTGAATAAAAATATGCGTCAAGATTGTAAAATATTGTATTAACTAAGCACACATATCATTTTACAGCAATTTAAAAAAATAATCAAAATGTTAAGTCATTTTCTTGCTCTATATTGTCATGGAGACTGAAATGATCAATTATATAGCAATAGAATTTCTTCTTCCTACTGTTGGACTCACCATGGCAAAAAATGATGAGTCCCTAGGTTTCACCTTCAAAAATCTGGATCAAGACCCCTGATCATGTTCACTTATTCAAACCTGTATTTCTTCCCTACAAAGATCTACGACATAATGTCTGTTTGACTGAAACTATCAATATGTTTCCTTATTAGAGCTATTGGCCTTAGATAGATTTTTTTAGCTTGAAACCCATCTAATATATGAATATTGAAGACTGTTGACCTCTCGATATCTTTTGGTGGTTTGTGTCTTATTGTATCCACACTTCTTCAATTCATTGATAAATAAAAAAATCATTACAATGCTTATAAATAGATTTATCTTTTACAGATTAGATGACATTTATGATTTAGAATACCAGTGTGTAAAAGTTCGAGGTGTATTTGACCACTCTAAATCTATAGAACTTGGACCTAGAACAAATATAAAAGATGCAATGTACTCTTCTGGTCATGGTGGTAGTTTATTATCCTCTGGTAGACAGACTGGTTTCTGGCTCATCACACCACTTAAATTGTCAGACAGAAAGTAAGTTTTCAATTTTGGGTAACCGTTTTGATTCCTTCAGGTAGATTATATAGAGAATAAGTAATCAATGATGGGTAACAGGTAGATTATATAGAGAATAAGTAATCAATGATGGGTAACAGGTAGATTATATAGAGAATAAGTAATCAATGATGGGTAACAGGTAGATTATATAGAGAATAAGTAATCAATGATGGGTAACAGGTAGATTATATAGAGAATAAGTAATCAATGATGGGTAACAGATAGATTATATAGAGAATAAGTAATCAATGATGGGTAACAGATAGATTATATAGAGAATAAGTAATCAATGATGGGTAACAGATAGATTATATAGAGAATAAGTAATCAATGATGGGTAACAGGTAGATTATATTAATTCAAAATCATGTATTTAGGTTTTTGATTTTGGGCCCAGTTTTCAATTTGGTCCAAACCGGGGTCCAAAATTAGAATTTGTTTGATTTCATCAAAAATTGAATTCTTTATGTTCTTTGATATGCAGATTCTAACCATGTATTTAGATTTTGATTATTGGACTATAACAGGTAAATGTCCAATCTCAAGTTTTTAAGTTCTTAAACCACATTCATTCTGTGTCAGAAACTATACTATGTCAAATATTTAATCACAATTCGAATTCAGACCTGTAGTTAATAGAAATTGAAAGTAGAGTAATAGTTAAAAATAAACACATCATCAAATCTAATTTAAGAGGTATTAGATATTTTGAAAAATAATTACAGGTAAGTTTATGGATTTTTTTAAAGACATTGTATTAATGAGGAATGATATTTTGGAAATTATTTTTTTCATTTTTGTCTCGCCTTGACGGAGTCAAAAAGCGAGACTGAGGTATGCTGTTTCCGGCATCCGGGGGGCGGCGTTGTCGTCAACAATGTATTAGTTTGTGATTAGGTCTAGTTTATGGTGAACCATTAGTGGTAGGTCAATGATATTTGGTATGTAGTTGTATTAGCATCGACACATCTCATTACCATGGAGATTATATGGCCCCACCCCCTCAGTCATGGTCTATTGACTCTGAAACTTTGCTGAGTTTACATGTATTAGTTTGTGATTAGGTCAGTTCAAGGGGAACCAATAGTGGTAGTCCAATGTTAATTGATATTCAGTTGTATAAACATTAGCACATCTCATTTCCATGGAGAATATTTGGCCCCGCCCCCTCAGTCATGGTCTATTGACTTTGAAACTTTTGCTTAGTTTACGGCATGTATTAGTTTGTGATTAGATCAGTTTAAGATGAACTGCTAATGTTAAGTCAATGATATTTGGTATTCAAATTTATTGGCATTTGCAAGTATCGTTTCAATGGAGATTATATAGCCCCACCCCCTCATCATGATTCATTGACTTTGAAACATTTACATATATTACAAGTTAGTGTTTGTGTTTAGGTTTGTTTAAAGGGCTCGACTTATAATAAGTCAATGGTATTTGGTATGCAGTTGTATTAGCATTGCACATCTCATTTCCATGGAGACTGTTTAGCCATGTACCTTCAGTCACGGTTCATTTACTTTGAATATTTGCATAACTTACATGTTAAAATATTGCTATTTTAATTTCAACATTTGCATTATCAAAATTACAAAAAGGCAAGACATATCTCTGTGATAACAGTTTATTTTTGTAAATTTTTTTGAAGAACCTGGTAGTAGGTTTGTTTGTTATTCTGTATACATTAATTTTTTTATGAGGTGAACCCCTTATAAACTTAGCTTGCATTGTCCATTAATAAATAAATGAATTGAATTCTTGGTGTACTTGGATATGCTGAATCTAATCCTATATTTAGATTTTGGATATTGGACCATAATAGAGTCCAATTTCAAATTTTTCAGTTCTTTGACCACATTCTTTCTGTGTCAGAAACCTATGCTGTGTCAAATATTTAATCACAATCCAAATTCAGAGCTGTATCAAGATTGAATGTAGTGTCCATACTTGCCCCAACTGTTCATGGTTCTACCTCTGCGGTCGTCTTAAGCTGCAGCCAGCTGAGCATTTCATTCACTTATGCTTAGGAATATTTAAATATAAAGCAATGCATACAAGATGCCTTCCCATAGATGCTAAATTGAAAGCTCAGTTTTACATTGTCTATCAACCATAAATCTAGTATATATATGTGAAAAGTGGTCTAAAATGAAAAGAAATTAACAAAGTTTGATATTAATATAAATCTCTCTTATAGTGCCACAATTTTAGTCAACAGAGGATGGATACCTAAAAATAAAGATGAAAGAAAATTATACAAAAGACCAGAAACTCAGGTAACTTTAATAATATTTTTGAAATTTGATTTCACTATTCCAACATTACCTTTGGACTGAATGGTTTTGTAGATAAATATAGATTCTATTACACCACTCTATGGATTAAGATATTTATCAATTTAGTTAACCTTATCCGTCAACTTAGAGGGGACAAATATTGTAGTCAAAGGAGTAAAGTGCTAGAACCAGTTAACCTTAACTGTCAACTTAGAGGGGACAAATATTGTAGTCAAAGGAGTAAAGTGCTAGAACCAGTTAACCTTAACTGTCAACTTAGAGGGGACAAATATTGTAGTCAAAGGAGTAAAGTGCTAGAACCAGTTAACCTTAACTGTCAACTTAGAGGGGACAAATATTGTAATCAAAGGAGTAAAGTGCTAGAATCTAATTCTCTAAATGATTTAATAGAAAAAAGCCACTATTCCCAATGTATGTGGAGGAATTTGAACAAGAAAATATGTAATCAATTTGAGGTTTATCACAATTTATAAAACTTATTAGAACCAATTCAAATCCATACAGAATTAGAATATGATTGATTACCATCCAGCAGACAATATAACTTTCAAATGAAGATGATAAAGGTTTTAAAGTGTGATGATCAGTCTTTAGCTTTCTGTGGGGTTTATTGTTGACTGCTGGTTGTCTTTACCTCATTTTTCACTTTTTGTTTTCAGCCAGAAGGGGAGGTTGAAATAGTTGGAGTTGTGAGGACAGATGAAAAGGTAAGACATCATGTTTTAAAAATGTTAGATGTTAAAAATTATTTAAAAAGATAAATTTTTAAAACCAAGAAAGTGTCTTACAAAACTTTTGTTATGCTGATAAATGTAAAAGAGATACATCCAACATTGTCCAAATAAAAAAAAACATTTGGAAAAATGTTTTCTTTCCACATTCTAGAAGCACTGGAATGGTAAATGTGTATAGGACATCTGACTATTTGAAGGGACAGATTTTGACATATGTTTTTAACAGTATTATATTTGACATACAATTTTCCTCAAAATTTGAAATCAAATTAATCATTTGTAGCATTAGGGAAAAATCCAATATTTGTTTCAGTTCCAGGTTTGGCCAGTGATTGCCTTAATAAGGAATCACCTCAATTTCTGATTATAAAGAGTGTTTTGATTTGAAGAAATATATCTATCATTTTTATATGACCGCCAAAAAATTTTACGGTCGTATATTGGTATCACGTTGTCGTCGGAAGATATTTGGTTTTCGGACAATTAAGTAAATGTAAATAGAAATCTATGAAATTTTAACACAAGGTTAAAAACCACAAAAGGAAGGTTGGGATTGATTTTGGGGGTTATAGTCCTAACAGTTTAGGAATTAGGGGTCAAAAAGAGGCCCAAATAAGCTTTTTTCTAGTTTCCAGACAATAACTTGTGGAACGGTGTATGGATCTCTCTGAAATTATACCACAAAGGGATGGTTAGGATTGGCTTTGGGGGGTTATGGCTCAAACCGTTTAGGAATTAGGGGCAAAAAAGAGGGAAAAACAAGGGTTTCCTGGTTAATGGACAATTTAAAAGCAGTGTAAGGGAGGTAATCCAAACACATTTAAAGAACAATGTTGCGTATGTTTGGATTTACCTCCCTTACACTTCTTTTAAATTATTTATAAAGAAATGTTGTATTGCCTTGAGGCGGTTAGCTGTCAATTTATTTTTAGAAGTTACTATTAAAGGCAATCTTTTCTCATTTCAGATTTTTTTTTTTTTGGGGGGGGGGGGGTCAATATGCAACAGCATAGTGTATTGCACAAAAGCAAAAACAAGGGGGGTAAATTTTTTTTGGGGGGTGGGGGTGGGGTGGGGGGGTCAATTCGCAACAGCATAGTGTATTGCACAAAAGCAAAAACATGGGGGGGGGGGAATTTTTTTTTTTGGGGTGGGGGGGTTGTCAATTCGCAACAGCATAGTGTATTGCACAAAAGCAAAAAATTGAATATAAATTCAAATCATATAACCAATTCTAAGTACTTTGACTACAGTTATTCTGTGTCAGAAACCTATTATGTGTCAAATATTTAATTACAATCCAAATTCAGACCTGTATCAAGCGCGAATATTGTGTCCATTTTTGCCCCAACTTTTCAGGGTTGGACCTCTGCGGTCGTATCCAGCTGCGCTCAGTGAAGCATTTTATTTTTACATGTAAATGGTTCAATATCTGAAACTTTAATCACAAAGAATACAATATATCTACATAAAACTAAGTATCAAACTTTTCATGCTAAGTTTTATTTATATTTTTGACTTCTTAAATTCTTTTCAAATAGTAGCATCTGAAAGGTCATTTGAACTCGACCTTAGTTTTGTGGTCCATTTACATTTAAATAGTTGTTAAACTTGTTGTGGTGCTAAAAGACATGGTACTATATTTTGTCAACTTTCTTTCAGAAAAATAGTTTTACCCCAAAAAATAATGCAGCACACAATCTGTGGTATTACAGAGACATAGAAGAGATTGCCAAAAATCTTGGAACAGTCCCTGTTTATATTGATGCAAACTTAGGTATATTATCTTAACATTTTATCTTGGAACAGTCCCTGTTTATATTGATGCAAACTTGGGTATATTATCTTAACATTTTATCTTGAAACAGTCCCTGTTTATATTGATGCAAACTTAGGTATATTAATATTTACTTTCTCTTTTAACAATTGTAACATTGATAGTTTGGTCGGACTCAGTTCATGTTTTTACTATGACGCATGCCTACTAATTTCACAATAACAGTAATAGGGTATTTTGCAGCAATTCATTTTCATATGAATATTTTAAATGTCATTCTTCAAAATCATTACCACTATTTATAACATTATTCAAAAAACTGAATATAACACTTTTAAAATTTCTGGATTTACATCATCAGGAACACTCACACATAAGTCAGGATTTACCATCAGCAGGAACACCCAAACACAAATCAGAATTTACCATCAGCAGGAACACCCTAACACAAATCTGGATTTACCATCAGCAGGAACACCCTAACACAAATCTGGGTTTACCATCAGCAGGAACACCCAAACACAAATCTGGATTTACCATCAGCAGGAACACCCTAACACAAATCAGGATTTACCATCAGCAGGAACACCCTAACACAAATCTGGATTTACCATTAGCAGGAACACTCACACACAAATCTGGATTTACCATCAGCAGGAACACCCTAACACAAATCTGGATTAACCATCAGCAGGAACACCCTAACACAGAAGATTTGAACATCAGAGATGTTTAATTACAAGAAAAGCTATTAAGTTTATTAAGAAAAAAAAAACACTGAATGATTTGATATCTGTCATAAATTTTGAAAATTTATTAAAATGGGTTGAGAACATGGTCAGATAAAGTTCTTCAATACTATTTTTATTTTTTAATTGATCTGTATACAATTTGAGCTATACATTTTTCGTGTCTGTACTGTCCCCTTAAAAGTGTGGACTACTGTTTACTATTGAAATGTTAGGACAAACATTGATTAATTTTGGAAAGGAATGGATCATAAAATGAGGTACATACATGTCAAAGAAACAATTATTATGATTACTCAAGAAGATTTCAAAAGACAAAATATCATCAGCATTATTACTAGTTAAAACTTTTTTAGTTAAGGTAAGACAATTCCTGAGAAAATGGAATGCAAGATATTTCATATACAGCAGTGCTGAGGGCTATATTCCATTACAATAAATGTGGGAGGGTATAAAAGGAAGATTATTTTTTAACGTTGGTTGTAGGTTATTTATGGTTTATATTCATTTGAAGTGTGCAAAAGTTCTCAAAGAAGTTACTTACTACCCTCCCATGTCCAATTTAATGGACTAGCCATTAGCAGTCACCTTTCTAACCTTTGACTTCTGAGAAATCTTATAGTTTGGAATATTGCATGTATTTATATTTTCAAATTCTTTCTGGTAAGTATCTTTAAGATTTTTACCATTTCTTTTTACACTAGTTTAAAATTTTTACACTTTTGTTTATTTTCAGCAAGCACAGTAAGAGGTGGACCTATTGGAGGTCAAACGGTAGTCAAGCTGCATAATGATCATGTATCATATATTATAACATGGTAAGGACAAGTCTAACCTTTACGGGTCAAACTTTCTAAGAATAGTTTGTAATATGTTATAATTTCGTAAGGAAACATAGGACCTTTGTAGTCAAACAATTGTTAAGTTTCTGCTAAAGTTAATTTGATAGAGACAACTTGTGATAGAGCATTGTTATTTAAAAAAAGTTGCATTGCTATCAGTAAATATCAGTTTGACAACTATTTCGAGGCCCTGCCCCCTAGGTCATGGATTAGTGACTTTGAATTAATTAGCAATTTTCAGTGTTAAGTTTTCTGCTTAAGTTAGTTTGATACTGATAGGATCTATTTGTGATGGATCAATGATATTTTGTATAAAGTTGCATTACTATCAGTACATATCAGTTTGACGATTATTTTGAGGCCCTGCCTACTACATAATGGTCCAGCGACTGAATTAATAAATCATGTTGCTGTCCAACAGATTGTCTTTTTCTGAATTTTATGCGAACAGGTGAGACATATCTCTGTGTCAACAGTTTATTTAAACAGGGAAGCAATATTTTGTCCAATTGGTGTTCAAATAGTAGTTAAACTTATTATTTAAGTCTGTAATAAAAGACAATATAAACTCATGTGAAATGTTGTAAGAAGAAGACACTCACTTGAGAGACTTTTATTCTTTACATAAATATATCTTATGTATAAAGAAAATGTATTGGTGTATTATTTAAACATTTACAGGGTGATGGTCAATAAATTACTGTCTTAGATTCTCTGCATAATACAGGGAAAGTATTCAAAATTCTGTGGTTTACCATGAAACATCTACATTTATAAGTCAATCTTTTCTGAATTATGCCTTCACAAGAAAATATATGCCTGTATAAACCATGTAGGTTTAAGTTATGAGTTAAAAGACATCTGTTCTTTAACACATGTGAATTTAACAAACAGATAAATACAACAACCATATTTATTTGTTCTAATAAAGCTGTATAAGATCTGTCTGCAGTCCATAAAAACAATAACATAATACATAAAAAGGATTAACAAAAATATTTGACAGTATATACCATGCAAACAACTTACTCAACCACAAAAAAAAAACACACAAACAAAACATGGTCCAGATAGCCAGATTGTTTCTGCTTCATAAAAAGAATGTGTTTTAATCTTATATTCATGTTCAATAAATTATACTGATAACAAACAGTACACATGCTTTATTCAGTGGAGATAATATAGAGAAAAAAAATTATAATAGAGATAAATATTTGTATATATATCCATTAAATGGTTATTATATAGCTCTGTTGACAAAATTTTTGGAAATTTACCTTAACCCAATTTACTTCTATAAATTTTTCAGGTTTTCCCTTTGTGCAATAACTGGATTTCTGTGGTATAGGAAATTCGTCAGACCAGCTCCATCAAAATTGTTACATGAGATATATAGGAGAGAGAAAGGACTGTGACGTTTATTATTTATTTATTGTTATATATTTGAATTAAACATGGTTTTATAGTTCTGTTGTTTGTACTAGTTATGAATGATTTCTCCAGTATGTCATGTGTAGTCCATTCTTTACATTAGTTGAAAAAAATTGTCAACTTCTAATTGGAGTTATTGCCCTTGAATGACAATTTGTAAGTAATTGTGGTTCTTTCCTTATTATTTTGAAAACTATAAAAGATAGAAACTTAAAGGCAAAAATGATCAGTAATCAAGATCTACAAATATGTCAACAGTCTCAACATGGCAAAATTGTCAGTCAACGCTTTATTTGAGTTATTTGCCTTTACAGCTCTTCTATAAAAGCATGCAAAGCAAACCTTTGATCAACTTGCTTGCTATGTTTGTTTGGATGTTTGTAAACAAAAGGTAGGTAGTCTGTTTCAGTCTGTTTACTATATAATGGAATTTGATTGGACAATAAACATTAACTTCATTGCATGTCAATTTTTATTGTCCAATCAAATCCCAGTATATATAAAACAGACTGAAACTCCGCTACCTATTGTTTGCAAACATCCAAGCCAACATAGCAAGCAAGTTGATCAAAGGTTTGCTTTACATGCTTTTATAGATGAGCTGTAATGATGAATTTAACCTATTATTGCATTTGTGGTGAATGCTTTGGTGGATAAAAAAAACTCTAAACCACAAATATAATCAGCAAGACAAGATCTTAAAATATGTCAACATAGCTGAAATTGTCTATCAACTCCTTAAAGGAGTTATTCCTTTGAATGATGATTTTTACTAATTTTTTATGGCAAAAACTATAGTAGATAGAAAACCAAATAGAAAATAAATCAGCATTCAAGATTAACAAAAAATAGATTATAATCATTAATTATACTTTTGTTTGCCATGTTATAGAGTGGCCATTGTTGAAGATGCACATAGATTCCAGTGAGCAACACCGGTTCCTTGTAGCCTATAACATGTGTATAGTTCTTTCAGCAATGATGATGTCTTTCTTCAAATGGTTTTTGATTTTCCCCTTAGTCATGACATTTTATGACTGAAGTTGCAAGAAAGAAAACAAAATGGTTCCAAGATCTATTAAGAGTCAGAAACGCATTTTTTTTGCTATATAAAAATAAGAAGCTGTGGTATGCTTGCCAAAAGGAAAACTTTTCACCAGAGATGAAAGGGTGAGAAATTTAACATTTATAGGGCACTGTAAAGCCTTCCACAATATTCATATTTAGGATGAGAATATTTGGGACTTTCATTCACTTCTGTGTTGATATGAATTATCATTGATATGGTCATAATTATAAATTAGCTGTTCTAAGGATTTTCTACACCACGAATAGATTAGCTTTGCTGTATTTGGCAAAACTTTTTGGAATTTTGGGTCCTCAATGCTCTTCAACTTTGTACTTGATTTGTTCTTTTTAACTTTTTTGATTCGAGCATCACTGATGAGTCTTTTGTAGACAAAACGTGCGTCTGGCGTACAAAATTTTAATCATGGTATCTATGATGAATTTTTTAGCACTATATAGACCAAATTTAACATTCATCAGGATCGGCAAAAGCGACCTTGCTTTCAAAGTCAAAACAAATACTTGATACAAACTGAAAGTTTTAATGAGTGGCAAAACCTTAACCCATGAAATTTCAAAACATTTTGTGTGTCAAAAAACTACAATTTCTCTGGGATTTTGATGTGAATTTTTGATTTTGTCCCTACAGGCGTACAAAGAAAAGAAAAGTAAAATCTTTGAGATGTTCCCTTCAGGTAAAAATTTAGTTGTATTGTTTTGGTTTATTTGGGCAATAGATATCTGTACAAAAAAAGGTGATTTAAATGGGGTAACTGCTGAGTAAACAAAAAACCTCTCCACACTTTGAATATCCATGTGCTTAAAAAAATGTGTTCCTAATGAATCCTAATATAAATTCCACTGCCGCTAATCGAAATTCACCTTCAAAATTAGTTTGCAGCTAGATTGTTCAACAAAAATGAAAGTGGATATCCACAAATATTCCCATGCAATGCCAGAAAATAACAAACATGCTCCAGATTATCTTTTGGTCATCAGTGAACTGAAGAACTTGTTCTCTCTCCTTTCCATATGACATTACTTGAAAAACCCAAAGCTTCATATATCTTGTTAGCAGACCTAAGAAATTCAAAAGTTTAATTTACCAACATTTAGAAAAACACAAACACAATTTTAAATTTATCAAATTTCAACCACTTCAAACCATCCATATACAACCAGGACAATAACAGAAACAGTTTGAAGATTCCTGTAAAATTTGCGAACTGTCTTGGATTAAACAACTACAGACAGCGTATCCCCTGTAGGTCTAAATAACAAAATCATGGGCCAAGGGAACATATCTAAAACTTCCTCTATTGATATGACTATTGTTGATACAAGACAGCGCAGTCATAGGTCTCATGGCAATCACATTAATCGCAATCAACGAAATAAACATTGTTTTAATTTTACACTTGATGATTTTTTATCTATATTTAAAAAACAATGGTACACATCAATTATTATGCAAACTGGGTAAAATGTCAATTAGTAAATTACATTATATTTATAACGAGTGTGATACAATATCGTTTTTCATTCCAAAATATGAGTGTACACAGATTATAACAGGTTTATGTCGAGCCTGCGACTTTTGTTGCAGAAAGCTCGACATAGGGATAGTGATCCGACGGCGGCGTTAGCTAACTTCTTTAAAGCTTTGTATTTTAAAAGGTGGAAGACCTGGATGCTTCATACTTTGTATATAGATGCCTTATGTTACGAAGTTTCTGACTGTCACATGTCCATTGTCCATGACCTCATTTTCATGGTTCAGTGACTACTTGAAAAAAAAGTTCAAGATTTTTTGTAATGTTAATTTCTCTCTTATAATGAGTAATAGGATAACTATATTTGGTATGTGCGTACCTTGCAAGGTCCTCATGCCCGTCAGACAGTTTTCACTTGACCTCGACCTCATTTCATGGATCAGTGAACAAGGTTAAGTTTTGGTGGTCAAGTCCATATCTTAGATACTAGAAGCAATAGGTCTAGCATATTTGGTGTATGGAAGGACTGTAAGGTGTACATGTCCAACTGGCAGGTGTCATCTGACCTTGACCTCATTTTCATGGTTCAGTGGTTATAGTTAAGTTTTTGTGTTTTGGTCTGTTTTTCTTATACTGTATGCAATAGGTCCACTATATTTGGTGTATGGAATGATTGTAAGGTGTACATGTCTAGCTGGCAGGTTTCTTCTGACCTTGACCTCATTTTCATGGTTCAGTGGTCAATGTTAAATTTTTGAGTTTTGGTCTTTTTTTCTAATACTATATGCAATAGGTCAACTATATTTGGTGTATGGAAATATTTTATGATATACATGTCAGTCTGGCCAGTTTTATTTGACCTTGACCTCATTCTCACATTCATAGCTCAGTCTTAAGTTTTTGTGTTTTGGTCTGTTTTTCTATTACTATAAGCAATAGGTCAACTATATTTGTTGTATGGAAGGATTGCAAGCTGTACATGTCTGCCTGGCATGGTTCATCTGACCTTGACCTCATTTTCATGTTTTTTTAGTCAATGTTTAGTTTTCTTGGTTAAGTCTGTATCTTAGAAACTATAAGCAATAGGTCAACTATATTTAGTGTATTGAATGATTGTAAGGTGTACATGTATTTCTTGTTTGGTTTATATGACCTTGACCTCATTTCTTGGATCATGTTAAGTTTATGTGATAGTTGTAGTAAAGCTTTATATTTAGAACTATCAACATTATATCAATGATTAGTAAAGAAGGCGAGACATTTCAGCGTGTGCACTCTTGTTATCACAATAGACTGTTCCCTCAAATTGACAAACCTAAAGATCATAAAAAGTATTTAAAAAAAATAAAATCCTGGTATCTATGATGAGTTTATTTATATACATTAATAGATGTATTGATTTCATTAATTTGTCTAGTATTTTTCATGACACTACCGTTCAAAACTTTATACCTCCATATTTTTATCCACTTTAATCATGTTAAAATATCTTCTAGACCCGGTCATGCTTTAAAACTTCAATTTTCACAGGTTTGTCTGTACTCAGCACACATTTTATTGTGTAAAAACAGCCATTTTTGTTTAAAACCTATGATGAAGTTAACAGTCTGCAGAAAGACATGTCATCACCCACAAGGACATATTCTTCTGAGTATAAATTGACAAGTCTTTGTTCTTACACCCAATGCCAGGTTTTTAGCAGGATAAGAAGAACAAGTGTGGTTTGACCCTGTCAGGGATTGTGAAATTTGAACCCACTATCTCCTGCACTCAAAACCAAAAAGAAAGTAACTATCACATGATTACCTTAATGAATAAGCCTAATAAGAAAAAGTTTCTACCATAATATGACAAATTATTTTATTTCTCTATATAAATTAAATTCACACTGAGTTGTCGTTCTTAATGCATGACACTATTTCATGTTGCATTCAATCCCTAATTCAGTATCAAATGTAGTTCATAAATAATCAGATATAACATTCCATGAAATATTCTAGCACTTGAAACATTGCATCTAAATTTTTTTTACCTGAAAACAACTTCTAAAAAACATTTTCAGATGCTACAATATGTACATGAATAGCCAATGAGTTTTTTGTACAGTAAAATGAGATTGTCTCCCTTATCACACAATCTAACAATAGCGTAGAAACTAAATTCCCTTCCCCCACCACCCTATAATAGAATATGCATCACTCCTTAATTGAAGGAATAAAAAATGACAATTCTTCCAATCTTTAAAACATTCACAGTTTTCTCTCATATATGTTTTTTGTTTTTAATTATCTTAAAAGACAAAACAACAAATGATCTTTTATATTTTTTAATTAAAATATGTTCAATGAAACAACCAGGATACAGTTCAGATCAACTGATATAAAATCAATAATAAATTATTTTAGTTTTTGTATCACTCACAATTGTTCTGTTATGTTTTCTCTTAGCATCACCACCATTTACACATATACTTGTGTCAAACACACCTCAGGAAGAAGTATTTAATCAAAATAAATAAAAGGAAGTGAGGTATACATAAATGAGACAAAACTTCTAATTAAAAAAAAAAAACTTTCAAGTTTGCATCTAAATGATCTATATTTGTTACCAAAAGGTTAATTAAGTATACTGTAATGTAAATTAATTAATAAATTAATACTGTATTTGTGGAGTTGCCATCTTCAATATGGAATTAACAGTTGCAATGAACAATGAACACATGTTGAGCATGAAAAATAATCTCCAAAAGGTATGAAAATAGAAATATCCATATGCTTATAATAAAAGTAATCATAAAATACACTTTCAAGACGATACGAAACATAGAAAAACTAGTTTACAATATGTATGAGAAGCAATATAAAGAAAATTATAATTTAGAAAAGGAAGACTTCAATTTTAAACCCTTAAATTTAAACCTGTGACAACTAACATGTTACTCTACTATCTACAGAGAATTAAACAAAAAAAATGTGAATAAGACCCCTGACATGTGACCCCTGAATGTGACCCTTGACATGTGACAACAAATTACACATAAACAATTGACAGTATTGACAACTAAATTTCAACATCAGAAAAAGTTAATAATGTGTGAAACCTTTAGCATGTTTATGTCTTCATTTTTTAACCTGATCCTTGATGGGTATAGATGATAATGACGAGTATCTCATAACGATGCCACATTTTCATATTGACACTTGAACTGATATACTATAAATTCAAAAATTATTGCAAGGTTATTATTAATGCGAATAATGCGACTTGGTGATTATCGCAATACATTTTGTTATAAGAACTCATATTCTGGTATCTGATACATATATATGTATGTAGATTTACCTAAAATCACAATAATTAATCTTGCATTTTTGTCCATTCTTCAAAAATCACAATAATAAATACACACAATAATTTCTGAATTTACAGTATATAATGATAATTAAAACATTTTTTTATTATAATACAACTCTTCAATTTAGACATTTTTTGTCTACAACAAATGCTGGTTTAAACTACCTCTATAATTACGTGTCAGACAGTACCTATAGCAGAACAATGTTATCAATGAACTTAACTTTGATGTTATATGTGAAACTGATGTAAACAGTAATGTTGTATAGCACTAACAGGTACCAAAATAAAATATACCATCATGAAATCCCAGACCAATAATGTAACCCCCTTTTTTGGTAAACATACTTTCCATATAAATCTTGTATGTGTTTCTCTCTTTTAAATTCAAAAACATACTAATAAGTGTCATCTATTCATATAAGAATATACTTCTTACACGCTACTCAAATTTCTAAAAATTGCACCACTTCATTGTTAAAAATTACTTAATGAAGTATTTCATTCATTAAAATAATTGATAAATGCAGTCTTCTGTTGTTTCACTACATGTCCTGCGACCCATTTAATAGTAAAAACATCAATAGGAATATCCCACTATTCATTGATCCAAATACATGATCAATGCGGTCGTCCCACAAACGAATCAGAGTTATGTCTGGATCTTTTAACTGTTTGTTTTGTTGGTCTTAATAACTCTTGAATATGCTGTACAATCAGATCTATAGCCACTGAAAAAATTTTAACATAGTCATTAAAAAAGTTATAGAAAAGATTAATAGTATGTACATTTGATAATAATTTGAGACTTAAAAAAGATATTGACATAATTTTGATACTTGTCTCGCACAAATTAACTGCAATGATCTTTGATTGGTCTGACAAGTATTTTGATATATGGGTGCAAGAAGGTATTATCCCATTATCAACAGAGTTGACAACTTTTTAAAACTAATTAAGGGTTGATTTAAAACGTGTATTAATATCACTTCCCATAACTGTCAATATGCATGATATGCTTTGACAGAGTATAACATATTATAATTAGTGGATTAAAAGTTGAAATTGAAAGGAAATAATAACAAAAGTTTGGTCAGAGAATTATTTGAATTGAACACATTTTTCTTGAGTTTATTGATGTGCAAAATAGGTTGATTAACTCACAAGCTGAATAAATGTCTGAAGGGCTTACATGTTAAGTTTGTGAGTCATAGGTTGAGTTTACACATTAATAACCTCTAGAAAAAATGTGTATAATTCACAGACTCAATTTCCGTAATTTTTTCTTTCAATCTCAACTTTCTTTTCCACAGAATTTCATTCATGCTAATTGTCAATGAATATATCACAGTGAAAAAGAAGTGGTGTTTACATCGGTTACAAAAGTAGTTTCAGCATCATGGTCTATGGTAGTAAAAACCAAGGTAAAAACTCCTAACAGACCAATCACATTCAAGTATTTGTAGATATGCAAATCATACAAAAATCATATATACTAGATTGAGGGACTAAGGAGCTTCATTACTTATTAATTATATTACACTGAAGATTAAAAGTTGTAGATTGTATTTTAATTCAATTCATAATTTAATATTTTCCAGAAAAGGGCATTGAAAATGTACTTTTTTCAACGTAAAAAAATTAAAAAAACTTATTTTATTGAAATGGGGATTGCAAAAATACACTTCCTGTATTCAAATGTCAGACTAAAATTGTAAAAAGACATTTGATGGGGACTGAACTAAACAAAAATATCAGATTTCTCAGGTAAAGAGTTTTGAAATTATATTAACTGTTTCAAGCCAATCACTGATAAGTGTAACCAAAATTATTGATTAATTACAGTTGAGGATTGCACAGATTTATCAAGTAAAATTTAGACCTTAATAGAATACCCTTTTTATATCTAGATTTCATAATATGTCTTTTCTTTTAAAAAATAATTTCTTGTTCTTTTTTAATCATTCATCTTTAAGACATAATTTATAGAACACTTTATGTAGGCAATGAATAAATCTATCAGTTCTAAATAAACATATATTTGTGTATTCAATAATAGGTCAAGTATTTGTGTATTGAGACATATAATGAAGGATTGTTTAATTATGTACGACTGAGGATGATTAGTAATTTGGTCAATATAATTGGCATTTAAGGAGGTGGGACATGGTAATTTTGGCCCCACCTTGTCTCTGATTGTTTGATGATCATGGCAAAGGTAATTCATACTGGTATTGTATCATTACTCTTACCAAATAAAATGACAAACTAGCCTGCAAATTGACAAAACTTATGGACATACAAACTTCAATGAACTGCTCCAAAGATATAACCCAAATTTTTCACATTTCATATGTGCATATGTGCACAGACATGAGAATTTAGGGAATTATATCTCAGTGTGTATACATTTTTTAGATTTAGTAGCTAACCTGTGCTAATTCTTGTTTGGGAGGCCGGTGCCTTAGGAAAGATTTGGGACAATAGTTCCAACCTTTCCTACAATATTACCCAGAATGCATAAGTTTTTAAAACAATGAATTAATACGAGTATTGAGTACCTGTATTATCAGCTCCTCTTGGAATGATGACGTCTGCATACTTCTTTGTCTATAAAAGTAAGAAAAAACATGTATGGCAGAAATAAAATGAAGCCATAGATTATAGAGCTCAAAAAGATAAATTCAATCTAAAGGGCATATGATACATTTACAGGGGAGGTAATGACGTTGAACAAATTACCTTTGAATTTTTTTAAATCAGATATTAAAATATACAGCAAAAAATGCTGTTCTTTTGACTAAAATCATGAAAATGTAAAAAAAATGGATAATTTCCAAAGAACTGAAAATTCAAAGCACACTAATGTAAAGAAGATATTCCAGATGCTTTTTCAAAAACTGCTTGTGTTTATCTTTTGAAACAAAAATGTTAAGTATGTTTTTCCAAAGGATAGAAATGTCCAAGAAACCGAAATTTCCAGTACATGTCTAAAATTTTGACCCCATTTATCTCTAAAAGTAGCACATGAAGGTACATTTTTTATTACATATTTGAATTGACTAGGTGAAAAATAGCTTATATGCAAACTTTCGTCAATAATTCACCATGGGATGAAAACTGTATTGTATGCCCTTAATGAAATTTTTTACTGTATGTCTTATTACGGTTTTTGTGTTGAATGGTAGCTGTCTCATTGATATATAAACCAAACATTTTCTTTTATACATTGTCAGTCTTTTTTCAATTTTGTCAAACTAAGCTAAAGATATTTCTCAAATAAATAATTTTCATATTGTATTGAAACCCAGTAATTCAAACTATTTAGTAGCTTAAGTTTCAGCTAAAGGTACATCTAAGATCTTAGCTCATTCAACCTCTACTGTTTAAGCTATACAACCTCATACAACAGTTTTTTCTCATGTTGTGCTGTTACACCACTGTCCCAGGTAAGGGAAGGATTGAGCGCTCACAAACATGTTTAACCCCCCTACATTCTTCAGGTGCCTCTTCCAAGTCAGGAGCCTGTAGTTCAGTGGTTGTTGGTTCATGTTTGTCATATTTGTTTTTGGTAAATTGTTTTGTTATTTAGTTTTCTCATTTGAATTGTTTCACATTTTCCATGTCGGGCCTTTTTTTGCTGACTATACGATATGGGTTTTACTCATTGTTGAAGCATGTACGGTTGCCTATAATTGCTTACATCTACTGCATTTGGATAGTTGTCTCATTGGCAATTATACCAAATCTGCTTATTTTAATACTTAGCAAATAAATGAGGAATGTGTCCATGGGACACGGATGCATGGACACAGATGATGCCCCCGCTTGCATATCATATTAAGTTATAAAGGGACATAACTGAAGAAGAGTAAAAGTGATGCTACCAAAATTTGTACTTGATCTGAGTTTTGTAGTAATAAGTATTGTGTATAAGTTTCATAAAATTTGGTTGAGGTAAACTTAAGTAAGAGAACAGAAACGAAAAATTCAGCAAATTTTCTGTTTGTAAAGGGGCATAACTCTAGAACAGTTAAAGTGACACCACTAAAATTGAAACTTGATCTGTATTTTGTGGTAATAAATATTGTGTATAAGTTTCATTACATTTGGTTGAGGCAAACTAAAGTTAGAGAACGGAAATGAAAAATTCAGCAATTTTTCCATTTGTAAAGGGGCATTACTCTAGAATGGTTAAAGTGATGCCACCAAAATTCAAACTTGATCTGTGTTTTGTTGTAATAAGCATTGTGTATAAGTTTCATAACATTTGGTTGAGGCAAACTAAAGTTAGAGAACGGAAACCAACTATGGGACGTACGTAAGGACGTACAGACGGACAAGGGTAAAACTTAATGCTCCCTCCGCTACGGTGGGGGCATAATAAAATAATTTTAATTTAAATAAATGGAGAATGTGTCCATGGGACACAGATGATGCCACTGCTTGCATATCATATAAAAGTTATAAAGGGACATAACTGAAGAACGGTAAAAGTGACGCTACCCAAATTTGTACTTGATCTGAGTTTTGTGGTATTGTGTATAAGTTTCATAACATTTGGTTGAGGTTAACTTAAGTTAGAGAAAGGAAACGAAAAATTCAACAACTTTTCCATTTGTAAAGGGGCATAACTCTAGAACGGTTAAAGTGACGCCATCAGGGTCATAAAAACATCATCTTGAAGCATTTCAAACTTGTCTCCTTGTTATCTACTCACTGGTAAACAGAATTCTTCAAAGGCAGGTTTGACTAGTGATGTGTATTGATGTAAAATCTGTTCTATATCCCTTCCTCTTTCTCTTGTATCACGTAAAACTAAATGAGAATAAAACATATATATATATATATATATATATATTCCTAACATCACTGAAGAGACATAAATTGTCGAAATCCGGTTATGGTGTACCAATTTTTGCACCTCATATTTGCAGTATACCATTTTTTCCGCAAGTTTATTGTTTTCTGTTTGGTATTAAATTAATAATTCAGATCCATTTTGTTACAACTGGTGATCCGTTTATTTGGCAATCGCCATGGCAGTCAGCAGGGTTTAAGAACATCCGTTGTTCTGCTAGTCAAATGCGTTTTGTTAAAATATACTTTTTCACTTTTTTGGTCTTCTGGAAAACAATGTTTGTGCTGTATTTAGACCCCTCTGCCAAAAAATTTGTTTTGCATGCACACGTATAAAAATTGCGGTTTTTGTCGAGCCTGCGACTTTTGTTGCAGAAAGCTCGACATAGGGATAGTGATCCGGCGGCGGCGGCGGCGTTAGCTAACTTCTTAAAAGCTTAATATTTTAAAAGGTGGAAGACCTGGATGCTTCATACTTTGTATATGGATGCCTCATGTTACAAAGTTTCCGTCAGTCACATGTCCAATGTCCTTGACCTCTTTTTCATGGTTCAGTGACTACTTGAAAAAAGTTAAGATTTTTTGTAATGTTAAATTCTCTCTTATTATAAGTAATAGGATAACTATATTTGGTATGTGCGTACCTTGCAAGGTCCTCATGCCCGTCAGACAGTTTTCACTTGACCTCGACCTCATTTCATGGATCAGTGAACAAGGTTAAGTTTTGGTGGTCAAGTCCATATCTCAGATACTATTAGCAATAGGTCTCGTATATTCGGTGTATGGAAGGACTGTAAGGTGTACATGTCCAACTGGCAGGTGTCATCTGACCTTGACCTCATTTTCATGGTTCAGTGGTTATAGTTAAGTTTTTGTGTTTTGGTCTGTTTTTCTTATACTGTATGCAATAGGTCTACTATATTTGGTGTATGGAATGATTGTAAGGTGTACATGTCTAGCTGGCAGGTGTCATCTGACCTTGACCTCATTTTCATGGTTCAGTGGTTATAGTTAAGTTTTTGTGTTTTGGTCTGTTTTTCTTATACTGTATGCAATAGGTCTACTATATTTGGTGTATGGAATGATTGTAAGGTGTACATGTCTAGCTGGCAGGTGTCATCTGACCTTGACCTCATTTTCATGGTTCAGTGGTCAAAGTTAAGTTTTTGAGTTTTGGTCTTTTTTTCTAATACTGTATGCAATAGGTCTACTATATTTGGTGTATGGAATGATTGTAAGGTATACATGTCTAGCTGGCAGGTGTCATCTGAACTTGACCTCATTTTCATGGTTCAGTGGTCAAAGTTAAGTTTTTGAGTTTTGGTCTTTTTTTCTTATACTGTATGCAATAGGTCTACTATATTTGGTGTATGGAATGATTGTAAGGTGTACATGTCTAGCTGGCAGGTGTCATCTGACCTTGACCTCATTTCCATGGTTCAGTGGTCAAAGTAAAGTGTTTGAGTTTTGGTCTTTTTTTCTTATACTATATGCAATAGGTCAACTATATTTGTTGTATGGAAGAATTGTTAGCTGTACATGCCTGCCTAGCATGGTTCATCTGACCTTGACCTCATTTTCATGGTTCATTCGTCAATGTTTAGTTTACTTGGTTAATGTTAAGTTTATGTGACAGTTGTAATAAAGCTTTATATTTAGGACTATCAACATAATATCAATGATTAGTAAAGAAGGCGAGACATTTCAGTGTGTGCACTCTTGTTATAATAGGTTTGAACGTTGTTTTCAATTTAGACTTGTATATATATATATTCCGCAAATTTTTTTCTTCTTCCCTCGACGGGATTGGAACTCATGCTATTGGGATATCGAGACAACACCGCCTGCACTGTGTCCAGCGCTCTAGACCACTCGGCCACCTAGACTGAACTTATGAATATAATATGTGTTTTCAGCCGTGTATCACCTTCACTGGTGATCCAATGGATAATTTACAGTTGTTACTACACATAGGCAGACATACATATATATAAATTTACAGTGATTGTATGCTTCTAATAAAATGCTCCGCTGGTTGCAGCTTGATACGACCGCAGAGGTCAAACCCTGAACAGAGTGGGCAAGTATGGACACAACATTCAAGCTTGATACAGCACTGAATTTGGATTGTGATTAAATATTTGACACAGCATAGGTTTCTGACACAGAATGAATGTGGTCTAAGAACTTAAAAAATTTTAATTTACCTATTCAAACCATATCATTATTATTTGCTTTTATATATAAATCAGAAATAACCAATCTAAAATGTAAATTTTAAAGAAAAAATAAGGAAAAAAAGGAAAAAAAAATCCCTCCCTCAAATTTTTTGAACCCCCTTATGATTCATCACCCCCAAACTCAATCCCAGCCTTCCCTTTGTGGTATGGTATCTTGCAGTACAATTTCAGAGAGATCCATACACTTGAACACAAGTTATTGTCTGGAAACTAGAAAAATGCTTGTTTTTAGGCCCCTTTTTGGCCCCAAATTCCTAAATGTGATGGGCAATTACCCCCAAACTCAAACCCAGCTTTCCCTTTGTGATATGGAACCTTGTAGTACAATTTCATAAAGATCCATACACTTACACACAAGTTATTGTCCTGAAACCAGAAAAATGTTTGTTTTTTGCCCCTTTTTGGCCCCTAATTCCTAAAATTTTGAGGCAGTTACCCCCAAAATCAATCCCAGCCTTCCCTTTTGTGGTATGGTACCATGCAGTACAATTTCAGAGAGATCCATACACTTGAACACAAGTTATTGTCTGGAAACTAGAAAAATGCTAATTTTTGGCCCCTTTTTGGCCCCTTATTCCTAAACGTTTTGGGCAATTACCCCCAAACTCAATTCCAGCTTTCCCTTTGTGTCATGGAACCTTGTAGTGCAATTTCAGAAAGATTCATACACTTACACACAAGTTATTGTCATGAAACTAGAAAAATGCTTGTTTTTTGCCCCTTTTTTTGCCCCTAATTCCTAAAATTTTGAGGCAATTACCCCCAAAATCAATCCCAGCATTCCCTTTGTGATATGGAACCTTGTGGTACAATGTCAGAGAGATCCATACAATAACACACAAGTTATGTCTGGAAGTTACAAAAATGCTTATTTTTGGTCCCTTTTCGGCCCCTAATTTCTTAACTGTTGGTACCATAACCCCCAAAATCAATCCCAACCTTCCTTTTGTGGTATTGAACCTTATGGTAAAATTTCATAGAGATCCATTCACTTAAACTAAAGTTAGAGTGCGAAAACCAATGTGTCTTCGGACGACGACAACGACACCAACGTCATACCAATATACGACTGCAAAATTTTTTTGCGGTCGTATAAAAATGGAATAGCATCCTGTAATTATACTAAAGAGATGAGTAGATTATCATTCCTGTACACTTAAAAATACTTTGTGTATTGCGTTTAAGATGTCCTTGTTTATAATTCCTACGAGAAGGTAACACCTCCCGAAACGAAAGATGATTTTTATCAGCTATAGTTAGAGGAGGGGATAAGGCGTCTGCGCACTGCTAGACGGTGTTGTCGTAGAAGTATGAAGTGAAAAGTACAGGTTCCAGCCCCGATCTGGGAGGAAGTAAAGAATCAGATCTACTCTAACATTGTTAGGTTGATTTTCTAGGCACTTTATATATATATAATATATATACATAAATCCATCAGTACTTTGTCATTGCTTGCATTTGTTTGTCTTTTTGTCAGGGTTTTATCTATATTGTTTTTTTTGTCAGGGTTTTATCTATATTGTTTTTTTTGTCAGATTTTATCTACCGGTATATTGTTTTTTTTGTCTTTTTGTCAGGGTTTTATCTATATTGTTTTTTTGTCTTTTTGTCAGGGTTTTATCTATATTGTTTTTTTTGTCTTTTTGTCAGGGTTTTATCTACCGGTATATTGTTTTTTTTGTCTTTTTGTCAGGGTTTTATCTATATTGTTTTTTTGTCTTTTTGTCAGGGTTTTATCTATATTGTTTTTTTTGTCTTTTTGTCAGGCTTTTACTTATATCATTATTTTGTGCTTTGTGTCAATTTCATGAGTTAAGACATTTCCAACTGATTTTTACAGTTAGTCTTCAGTTGTGACAACTAGTGCTGTTACACCACTGTATCAGGTTAGGGGAGGGTTGAGTGTTGGAAAACATTATTAACCCCTGCTATATTCTTATGTGTAAAGGCTGTATGGTGACCTATATTTACATTCTCATCCTTTAGTCTCTGGTAGATAGTTGTCTCATTGGCAATCATACCACATGTACTTATTTTTACAATATTAGTTATACTTTCACTTTCACTTTATAATTTCACAACAGGTTTACATTTACAGTGGAAGGAAAATTTTGCAGTCTTTTATTTACATTGAAATTTTTAATTTGAGGATGGGTATCAGTTCTGCAGTTTTACCATGATTATCAACAAATGTTCTTTTTTTTAAGTGTACACTAGTACTGTATGGCATAATGCCCCATCTAGAAAGCAACAAATAATAATGGAAAGATTCTACCACAAACTCCAAGGGGTTTTAAAGTAAGACAGCGGGAAACATTTTTGTACCTACAAACCTTCTAGAAGGAACAAATAATCAAATTTATCACTAAACCTAAATGGAGGGGTTTTAAAGGTAGAATTGATTCGTTTCAGACACATGGATGATTAAACAAGACAGACTGACAAGCTGATTGATGAAGGCCCTAATTAGGTTAAAACTTTTTTTTTCTTTGCGACATTACAACATATTTCAGAAAATTTAGACCTGGTAAAATTTGTACATCAACATCTTTTCAACAAAATTTACAAAATTAAGTTTTCTCACAATACTGTCATGACTCTAAATCAACATACTACCTCTTCTAGATAACCTTGTGTCAGGATCTGTGTCAACAAAAAGCTTCATATGAAACTTATCTCTCAATTCTTTGTCAGCAAAGGCAAGTATTCCTTCAAACAATACAACATCTGCTGGGTAAACTGGATGACACGACTCATCACTACAAAATAAATGGTTTATTGACAGATATGCATACTGGGTAAAATGTGTGACAATCCTCATTACAACACCAAAAATGGTAAACTGCCACTCATTTACTTTGTTTCATTCATGTCAGTATTTATTGTCAGTAGGTGGCATGATGCAAAGCATACAACGTACCTCCCTATCCAGTAGCAATTCAATTCCCACCCTTCACCCAAGTTGGCTACTCAGATCAAGTATACATATCTATATATATTATACACGTCTAAACATGAAACAACTTTAGGACAGACGATCTCCATCAGATAACCCATAGTTATACAGGGGTAACACTATAATATATATATATAATTCGTCTCAAATTTAGCCCAACAATGTTAGATCTGTAAATTTGCAATTTTGCATACATATATATATATATATATATATAAAATGACTGAATAATAGCCAACGATAAATCTTACGGGGCGATGGATCATATAAATATGATACAGTACACTACAAAATATAATATATAACCAGTTTAAAAGGGTACAACATCACCAAAAAATGACAATAAACGAACAAATGTAACTATAAATATTTCGGATAACAGATATCCTTCATCAATATGAGCACGATGTAAAATGAATCAGATAAATCTATTCTGATTATTAAACTATAGCAATCTTGAATTCTATACAATAAAAAAAGTGAAACAGTTTCATCCGAACATCATATGTACATAATGTAGAGACGCTAATAAATTTTTTAAATTTCCAAAAAACGACTCAAAGACATGCCTAAAATGAAAATAGTAATTATAGATATGAACTGGCACAACTTTAAAATTCCAAAATGACGTCAGTTAAGATGTTACAACAACTGCGTGTAAATACATTCCCAAAAGAACAGCACTGATCGATATAAGCTGGTAAAATATGACAAACAGAGGCTGCGTATTTATCATTCCAAATAAATAGCAGTTTTATAATGAAAAGAAAAAATAATGTAAATTTGGGCTAAGGTTAAAAGTTGGACCTGGATGCGTACTTGTATATCCCTACCAAATGAAAAGAACCCTGGTATTTAAACTAGTAAAATTCCAAAAGAATCCTTAAAACTGTAAGAGTCAAGTAAGGAAGCCGGAGTAACTGGAAACAAATGATGTCAGGAAAATGAGTGACTCATTCTATGTTTTTTCATTTATGCCCTCTCAGGAAACTGTCCTTAGCTTTCTTATCCAAAACCTTTCCCGAGCAAGTCTTTCGGCCCTTGACCAACCCTCGTTGTGGTCTATGATAGTGATGGTAAGGTTTTTGAGATCAGCTTGGGCGTGCCCAGGTGATCTCAAATGACGACTTACGGGGAAGTCGGGCTTGCAGGTATAGTCACTTCGATGACCATTCATGCGTTTGTTGAATGACTGTTCTGTCTCGCCAACATACTGCATGCCACATCGACACTGCAGAAGGTATACAACATTCTGGATTTTGCAAGTTACATTGCAAAATATAGTGTACACAGACCCAGTGGAGTGGCAAGTAAATGTTTGAGTATTCAGTATTTGTTGGCAAGTCAGACATCGTCTGTTACCACACGACTTGCACCATCCTGCAGTTAAACAGCTTTTATTAGAGGAGACATCAGCTCTCTCAAATAAGTCTTTCAGACTTGCTGGTCTCCGAAAAGCTAATAATAATTTAGGGTGCTTGGCAATAGTTTGCCAATTGGCATGGATCAAACGTGAATGGTTAGTAAAGGCGGGATTGTATGTTAAAACAAATGGAACTATTTTGCTGCGCCTCTTCTGTTTGTATTGTAATAGGTCATTGCGGCTGTTATTGTTAGCACGTGCAAATCCCTGGTATCCGGTCGTTCCATCCCCAAACCGATCCGGCCCCAAGTCGTTTCGGCCCAAAGTCGATCCGTCCCAAGTCGATCCAGCCCACGTCGATCCGGCCCAAAGTCGATCCGGCCCCATAATAAAATATGAATAAACTATATTGACTTTGGAGAATTTTTTTTACTAGTTTAAATACCAGGGTTCTTTTCATTTGGTAGGGATATACAAGTACGCATCCACGTCCAACTTTTAACCTTAGCCCAAATTTACTATTATTTTTTCTTTTCATCATAAAACTGCTATTTATTTGGAATGATAAATACGCAGCCTCTGTTTGTCATATTTTACCAGCTTATATCGATCAGTGCTGTTCTTTTGGGAATGTATTTACACGCATTTGTTTAACATCTTAACTGACGTCATTTTGGAATTTTAAAGTTGTGCCAGTTCATATCTATAATTACTATTTTCATTTTAGGCATGTCTTTGAGTCGTTTTTTGGAAATTTAAAAAATTTATTAGCGTCTCTACATATGATGTTCGGGTGAAACTGTTTCACTTTTTTTATTGTATAGAATTCAAGATTGCTATAGTTTAATAATCAGAATAGATTTATCTGATTCATTTTACATCGTGCTCATATTGATGAAGGATATCTGTTATCCGAAATATTTATAGTTATATACATGTATTAAGTCAACCATGTCAACTTGTCTACTTGTTTACCCTATCTACTTATCGACCATGTCTACTTATTGACCATATCAACTTTTACCATCTTATTAACCTGTCATGAAAAAAAATAACCATTTTATAATTGAATAAATGGAGAATGTGTCCATGGGACACAGATGATGCACCCGCTTATAAATAATGTTATAAAGGGACATGACTCTAAAGTTTAATAACATTTGGCCCTATAGTTTCAGTGGAGGAAGATTTTTAAAAGTTTACAATGACGGATGCCAAGTAATGGCAATAACCCACATGGCCGTTTAGGTTTGGTGAGCTTAAAATGGGGGTCTATTTTTTTTTTGCTGTTGCAAAATATGGAAAATGTCAATTTTAAAAGGGAGACATCTAATTTCTCATTTTTGGCCTTAAATTAGGTAACAGTGTAGTTGTATTCTTCATACATAATATTCATAAAGCTATTCCCACTGACAAAAAATTGTAGAAGTAACTATTATAAGTTGAAAGGTATTGATGATAAAAAGTAAACAGGTACGCTACCCTACTATCACCACTTTTCTCCTTTTTATAACATAAAAATAAGAAGATGATTTGGTATGATTGCCAATGAAACAACTCTCCACAAGAGACCAAACAACACAGAAATTAACAACTACAGGTCACCGTACGGCTTTCAACAATTAGTAAAGCCCATACCGCATATGCATACCTTTTTTTCCCTACATAGCTAATTATAACATACCTTAAAATCATAATTTTCTCCCTTTTATAAAATACCTTTTGTTCTCTACATAGTTATACCCCGGTATCATAACTTTTCTCCCTTTTATAACATCATTCATTGTATTTTTCATTCTTTCCCAATCGAATGCATCTGAAATGAAGTTAACATACTTGAATATAATAAAAGAGTGAATCATTCAAAAATCAATATTTGCCACCAAAAAAAAAAATTATATTATATTAGGAGGATCCACAGTCCTTCAGTGGTTATACTTATTCAAGTCATGTTAATTTACTTGAAGATGTAATATTTACTTGTGGAATTTGTAAGATTTTAATTTTCATTTCAAGATTTGAATAATCTCCCCTTAAATTCTTCTCCAAACATTTACTTATACAAGTATTTTTTTAAAACATCTTCAACATTTTTGTGTTAAACTTGTTAAATTCTTAAGTTTTAGTAGCTAAAAACATGCCTTTACATCTCAAGACCTAAACAAAGAAATTTACTGCACACATATGTTAAGTAATGTGCAAAGCCTTAAAAGAGGGGTTGGACAGGGGGTACCCTTCTCCCACCTCCCGCCCCCTCCCACTTTTAGAATCTTTTTTTCCCTCCTCAAAAGCTGTCCACCCCCTCTTAAAATTGCTCCTTTGAGGCTTGTAATTATAATAAAATATAAATAAGCAGTGTTTACAGATAACAGATCTAGATCAATGAGATTTTCCCTGTCCTTGAAATTTTACAAAATTATTGATTGTTGATTATTACTAAATTCAACATTATCATGATTATTACTAAAATTCAACATTATCATGATTTTTACTAAAATTCAACATTGTCATGATAAATACTAAATTCAATATTATCATGATGATTACTAAATTCAACAATATCATGATTACAGTACCTGGATGATCGAAATTAAATTCGCCTTTTAATGCCTTCTTTTTTTCTTCTTCATTCAGAGTTTTGTAAAAAGAATCTTGATTAATAATGGCTACCCTCCTTTGTTTTCTGTCCATATCATCTTGTCCTAGCTGAGACATGATCTTATCACATACTGATGACTGAAAAAAACAATGTCTATTTATAGTACATCCTAACTGAGATATGGTTTCATCACATACTGATGAATACTAAAGAATACAGATTTTGGTCATAGCTGATTCGTTTCCGATGCATATTGGCATGATATTGCCTCCAATCTATGGATCAAAAAAATATTTCATTAGTGGACAGGGAAATTTATGAAAAAAAAACAATGTTTGACAAGTGATTTAGAAAGGAATATGACACTTTTTATGCAATAAAATGGATGAAACATTAACTAAGGCAATTTTAATCATGTTCTAATGAAGCAACAAACCTATTTTGCTAAAAATTAGAATGTTTTGAATATAGGCTCTGGAGTAACAAATTTAGATTATGATACTGGAAGCCGTGAAAGAAAATACTTCACAAAAGGTTGCTTGTTTGAAATAACAAACGACTAATCTGTATAAAAGAGGGGCGAAAGATACCAAAGGGACATTCAAACTCATAAGTCGAAAATAAACTGACTACGCCATGGCTTAAAAAGAAAAAGACAAACAGACAAACAATAGTACACAAAACACAACGTAGAAAACTAATGACTGAGCAACACGAACCCCACCAAAAACTGGGGGTGATCTCAGGTGCTCCGGAAGGGTAGGCAGATCCTGCTCCAAATGTGGCACCCGTCGTGTTGCTCATGTTAGTACAAACCCGGTAATAAGTCTAATTCGGTAGATCACATTAAGGAAAAGGGGACGGAATTGTAGTTACGACATTAGGAACATATCCGCTATCATCTGTGAAATGGATATTCCGTAACGGTCAACCAACTCGTGATGGCGTCCGTAAAATTTAAGAATGGACATGAGGGATATAGTGCAATACTTTGAAATATTTTCTGAAGAAATAAATCTTTTACGTATTTGAATTTTTTTACTTATAAGAGAAAAATTGCTGTTTCATCGACTTGGTAAAAATGGAAAAATTGCCAGTGATGAAAGCAATTGAAAGTGACTATCTTGTACGCTCGGGCGACTGGATATTGCTACATGTACATGTACTTATGGTCATGATGGTAGGGCAAAGTAAAGTGGTGGATTGGACAGCAACTTCTTTGCCCCAGTCACACGCTTGCATAAACCCTGGTGTCTTAGTATAAAACAGAGATGCTGCAAAGTATACAGCTATTACAGGTTATGCACCCACCTGTGTACATGTAACAAAACTAACATGGTGTGCCCGAAGTGATCACATTTGATAACCAGAAGCGTACAATGATACGTTACATTGTGTGAAAAAGATAAATTATCATATTAACCTTTCCCGATGCTGTTCCTCCGGCCACTCCAATAACGAATGGACGGGGTATGCGTTCCATGCCGTTCATTTTTAGTGCTAGTTCACCATCTGCAACTGCCGCCATTCTCAAAACTTTGTTTGTTGTAAAACTACGAAGAATATTCTTTGCATATCCTGAAAATATGAGCATGTGCTTGAATCTGGTCATTTTATCAAAAGATATCTATTATTGCATCATATATTTCTTCTGTGACTTTATATAGTATTTGGAACCACGTGTTTTACGACAACATTGTTTTTTTTATATCAAAGCCGGAAATCCTTTTCCGAAATTGTTCCCTATCTAGAATTGTATCTTAATTTCCGGTAGAAATGTGTATTGAGCCTGATGCTTTTTTTCTAATTAGAAATTTTTTACCACGAAAACATGTCAGAAACTTCAGATCATCGGGACCATCGGTCTGAACGAGACCGTGACAGAGGAGGTGGAAGAAGACGCCCAAGGAGACGAGATGTGTTGCCAAGTGGAAGGGGAAGAAAAGTAGTATGTTGAAAGATTATACTTGTACAACTTTTTTTGCCCTGGAAGTCAAGAACTTGCACCATTTCTGATTTTTTTTTTTAATTGTGTGATCAGGTTTTGTCGATCAGACTTGTATCAGGTTTCATGGTTGTATACTAGTTCAAGTAGTTGCAGAACCATTGGCATTGCTGATAGTCGTAACAAGAGTCAAGACATTTTGGCACCAAATCAACATCAAGACATTTCAGGACCAAGACAAATCATCAGCTCGGTTTTTCTGTCTTTATTTTCCTGTTGACGTTAAAAGTTAAAAAAAATAAATAATTAAAAATGATTTAACAATACTGTCATTGACTGTAAAACAAAGAATTTTGATAGTGATTTATTAAAATCCGTACATTGATATGTAAATATGCAATACAAAATTTGATTGTGTTTAAATAAACATATTTATCAAATTACAATTGATTCAGAGTTTTCCATTCGGCATTGAAGCCAGGTGTGCCGACCACCTTCTTTTGAAAGCTGACCACCTTTCCATTTAAGGAGGTGTTTTTTTTTCAAATTCCGGATTTTTGTTGGTTCCGCACCGTAAAAATTTAAATTCTTATCGCGCCTTGCTGATTTGGTTTTCATTGACAAATATGGCCGATCGTCAAATTTCAATGTTTTCTTTAAATATGAGGCAGGCGTTACCTGTGAAAGGGGACGAAGTCTGTATGAATTATTTTTTTTAATTCAAACATATTTTAACTTCAAAATCTGTTCAAAGAAGAAACGGAAATACCCTTACACTTCAGATTTCGGTTCTGTTGTTCGGAATTTTAGTTGTGACGTTATTTATGTTATGACGTCATATTCAATGTAAACAAAGAAACGCTATCAGGTAACGTTTTTTCATATTAAGCCATTCAAGGAATTATTAAAAATGGAATTGGTATTGCGTTCCTTCCTATATTTTACTAGACTGATAAATATATATTTTACTCAAAAACTCATGCAAACGAGACCGGAAAAAGGAAGTAGATTTCTGCGCAAATGTGGGAAAATAAAAAAGTCTGAAAATAAAAAAGTTAAAAAAAAGTTAACGATTTTGAGTTCATTAGTAGAATGAAAATTTCGGGAAATTTTCCCGATTTTTTTTTTTTTTATTATTGATTTTTCTACCGTAATAGGGGACTTCGTCCCCTTATTAATCGGAGAAAGAGAAAGGCAGATGACGATGGTGATAAGGAAAATTCTATGCCAAATAAGTCAACTAGTTGTAATGAAATGGTTGAAATTGAAAAAAAGCATCAAAACAACAGAAAAGGCACGCAAGTGAAGATAAATATGAACATGATGAACAGGACTTTAAATGGCTAATCGTCACAGAGGAAGATATTACTGTTCTGTGTGCCAAAAATACAGCACTAAAGCGAGGAACAGGACAGAAACTTGGATCGATAGGCCAAGCATTCGCAGGAGGAGGAAGTCCTGCAAAAGCCATCTGCTATCCGAGATGCACAAAACTATTTATTTTTGTTCAATTCCATTAAATATGAATACAATACTAATCCTTCCTTTTGTGACCCCCACCCACAGTAAAAAAAAACCCGGTTGGAAATGTTTAAGAAAAACAAAACACCAGGTTGCAAGTGGTTTTTTCAAAACACCCACCTTACCTTAGTGAAAAAAGGAGAACATTGAATTGATTGTAGTTACGGTGCAGTCCAGTGAATTCATGCACCTAAGACTTTTAGCTTCAATTAATTTGGTTATCTCATAAAACCAATAGTCATGATAATCGGATAACATGCATAATATTTTGTGAACAAATTCATGACATACTTTAATTTCATAAAATCTTCTTGATGTTAGTTTCATCATTAAGATTTTATGTAATGTGTGTCAAAAATTAGGGAAACCCCTGTTTTGACAGTTCTTCAAATGTCCGTGATTTCGTGCATGCCTTCTAGAAATAGCTTATTTTGAATACAGGAAAGATCTTATACTAGGAAATATAGTTCAGTTTGAACCAAACAGACATCCAAGGATGCGGAGCAAACTTTATTTCATTTTGATAAAAATTTGACTTTAAAAGAAACTATTTTTTTTTTGATATATGTAATGTAATTCTTTTTTATAGAAAATGTCTATATATGGTTAATCACAGGATTGCAATTATAAATTTATGCTTGAACTTATCAATTTTAATCTTTTTCGTCCCTTTGGAAGACTTAAACAATTCCAAGAAGGCTTTTATTTGTGTTTCATTGTGGATATGACGAAATCAGGTAATGGGCGATATCACTGCCCACACGGACACAGGGGATTCTACTGTATGCATTAATCATTATTTTATGTAAAATCATAATAAGTTTTGATATTTTCTCAATGAAGATTAAAAGTGTACAGCTTGTGTTTGCAGTTTGGGTTATAGTTTGATCCATACACTTCTAACATGTCTAAGGACAGCAAACATGACAAAATACCTGTAAATTATATTTCAATTGTGTTAACATTACAAGCCAAAACGTAAAGCGCTTACAAGCCATATTGAGTAAAAGCCCAGAAGTTGAGAACCACATAAAATTGTCAACATTTGGAATTTCCTATACATGTACTTTCACAATGTTAGACAAATATAAGAAATAATAGTAATATTTATCATTATAACAATTTTTTTTTTATATTTATGATAATGTAAATGTTAATGACAGTCTGAGTGCTATAAAAAGAAAAAAAAAACCAAAAAACCAGAACACTAACATTTGCTTCTTCTGACCATGGGAGTAGTATACTGTCAATTTATAGTGCAAATAAATATATAACTTCATGAAAGACTATTAAACCCAAATAATTACACAAAATTTCCAAACAGAAACATGTATTAGATATAAGAAAACCTTATTCAGTATTAGGCCATAGTTGACACAGAATTAGTTGTTAATAATAAGGTGAAAGCTTAGCTTGGAATATAAACATAGTAGCTTTATGAGGTGCCAATTTGTCTTGATACCGAACTGTTTTTTTTTCTCGGGTGTGGAATTGTCTTTCATTGATTTCGAATTGTTCTGGTGCTGATTTGCTACTTAGGTGCCGAAGTCTACAATTCCCTCATTGTTCCATCAGCCCTTAGTTCGTTTGCCCTAGATTATGTATGTATAATACACCTTATAGCTATTATTCCTTTTCGGGAAAAAAGCACTTAGACAACTTTGTTTCAAGTGTTGCAAAAGCATAGCTAACAGTTATGGGCTGAGGGAGGAAGTAGTGTCAATTTTAAATTTTTTCCTGAACTGTGTATTGCTACCTAAAGTAGACTTAGCCCCTATATGGAAAATGCTTACCAGGCTGTAGCAGATTAATTTAGGTTAATAATTTTTATACGACCGCAAAAAATTTTTTGTGGTCGTATATTGGTATGACGTTGGCGTCGTCGTCGTCGTCGTCCGGCGTCGTCGTCCGAATACGCATTAGTTTTCGCACTCTAACTTTAGTTTAAGTGAATGGATCTCTATGAAATTTTACCATAAGGTTCAATACAACAAAAGGAAGGTGGGGATTGATTTTGGGGGTTATGGTACCAACAGTTAAGGAATTAGGGGCCAAAAAGGGGCCAAAAATAAGCATTTTCTAGTTTCCAGACAATAACTGTGGAACGGTGTATGGATCTCTCTGAAATTATACTACAAGTTTCCATACCACAAAGGGATGGTTAGGATTTGTTTTGGGGGGTTATGGCTCAAATCATTGAAATTATCTCCCTTACACTGCTTTTAAATTATGTATAAAGTAATGGTTAATGAACAATTAAGATAATTTAAAACAGTGTAAGGGAGGTAATCCAAATACAATGGTTTGGTTACTTCCCTTACACTGCTTTTAAATTATGTTTAAAGAAATGCATATTTATAAAGGAAGACCAGTAAAAATATCTGCAAATGTTGCATCTTTTTTTTTTACAAAAAAATCCATATGAAAGATTTGACACTATATTTTAAATTCTATTATAAAATAGATTAAGTTAGCACTATGGTAAATTTAAATGGGTAATTATGGTTTGGGGGGAAAAAAAAGGGGGGGGGGGGGTAAAAAGAAATTGTGGGGGGTAAATTTTTTCTCATTTCAGATTTCAGAAATTAAAAAGAATTATTCTTCAAATATTATTTTTTTTTCAAATTTCAAATATTGAAAAATTTCAAGAAGTAATCTTTAATTGCACAGTATGGCGCATTAGATTTGTAAAATCTTTGACCACATTTATTTATTTGTTATGCCGAATCTAACCGTGTATTTAGATTTTTAATTTTGGATCCAGTTTTCAAATTAGTCTACATTAAGGTCCAAAGGGTCCAAAATTAAACTTTGTTTGATTTTTACAAAAATTGAATATATGGGGTTCTTTGATATGCTGAATCTAAACATGTATTTTGATTTTTGATTTTTGGCCCAGTTTTCAAGTTGGTCCAAATTGGGGTCCAAAATTAAACTTTGTTTGATTTCAACAAAAATTGAATATATGGGGTTCTTTGATATGCTGAATCTAAACATGTGTTTAGATTTTTGATTATGGGCCTAGTTTTCAAGTTGGTCCAAGTTGGGGTCCAAAATTAAACTTTGTTTGATTTCAACAAAAATTGAATATATGGGGTTCTTTGATATGCTGAATCTAAACATGTATTTAGATTTTAGATTTTTGGCCCAGTTTTCAAGTTGGTCCAAATTGGAGTCCAAAATTAAACTTAGTTTGATTTCAACAAAAATTGAATATATGGGGTTCTTTGATATGCTGAATCTTACCATGTATTTAGATTTTTTATTTGTGGGCCCGCTATCAAATTGGTTCATATTGAGGTCAAAAGGGTCCAAAATTAAACTTTGTTTGATTTCATCAAATATTGAATTATTGGGGTTCTTTGATATGCCAAATCTAACCGTGTTTTTAGATTTTTAATTTTGGGTCCCGTTTTTTAAATTGGTCTACATTAAGGTCCAAAGGGTCCAAAATTAAACTTAGTTTGATTTTAACAAAAATTGAATTCTTGGGGTTCTTTGATATGCTGAATCTAAACATGTGTTTAGATTTTTGATTATGGGCCCAGTTTTCAAGTTTGTCCAAGTTGGGGTCCAAAATTAAACTTTGTTTGATTTCAACAAAAATTGAATATATGGGGTTCTTTGATATGCTGAATCTAACCATGTATTTTTATTTTGGACATTGGACCATAATAGGTAAATTAAAAAAATTGAAGTTCTTAGACCACATTGTTTCTGTGTCAGAAACCTATGCTGTGTCAAATATTTAATCACAATCCAAATTCAGAGCTGTATCAAGCTTGAATGTTGTGTCCATACTTGCCCCAACTGTTCAGGGTTCGACCTCTGCGGTCGTATCAAGCTGCGCCCAGCGAAGCATTTTATTGGCTCATATCTCTGAAACCAAAGCATTTAGAGCAAATCTGAGTAGGATAAAATTGTTCATTAGGTCAAGATCTATCTGCCCTGAAATTTTCAGACCAATCAGGCAACCCGTTGTTGGGTTGCTGTCCCTGAATTGGTAATTTTAAGGAAATTTTGCCGTTTTTGGTTATTATCTTGAATATTATTATAGATAGAGATAAACTGTAAACAGCAATAATGTTCAGCAAAGTAAGATCTACAAATAAGTCAACATGACCAAAATGGTCAGTTGACCCATTAAGGAGTTATTGCCCGTTATAGTCAATTTTTAACCATTTTTCGTAAATTTTTGTAATTTTTTACAAAAATCTTCTCCTCTGAAACTACTAAAACAAATTTAACCAAACTTGTCCACAATCATCATTAGGGTATTTAGTTTAAAAAATGTGTCCGATGACCCTGCCCGCAAACCAAGATGGCCGACATGGCTAAAAAATAGTACATTGGGTAAAATGCAGTTTTGGGCTCATATCTCTGAAACCAAAGCATTTAGAGCAAATCTGAGGAGGATAAAATTGTTCATTAGGTCAAGATCTATCTGCCCTGAAATTTTCAGACCAATCAGGCAACCCATTGTTGGGTTGCTGCCCCTGAATTGGTAATTTTAAGGAAATTTTGCTGTTTTTATACGACCGCAAAAAAAATTTTGTGGTCGTATATTGGTATGACGTTGGCGTCGTCGTCGTCGTCGTCGTCCGGCGTCGTCGTCCGAATACATATTGGTTTTCGCACTCTAACTTTAGTTTAAGTGAATGGATCTTTTTGAAATTTGACCATAAGGTTAAATACCACAAAAGGAAGGTTGGGATTGATTTTGGGGGTTATGGTACCAACAGTTAAGGAATTAGGGGCCAAAAAGGGGCCAAAAATGAGCATTTTCTAGTTTCCAGACAATAACTGTGGAACGGTGTATGGATCTCTCTGAAATTATACTACAAGTTTCCATACCACAAAGGGATGGTTAGGATTTGCTTTGGGGGGTTATGGCTCAAACCGTTTAGGAATTAGGGGCAAAAAAGGGGGAAAAACAAGGTTGTCCTGGTTAATGGACAAATACTTTAGTACAAAACATAATTTAAAGCAGTGTAAGGGAGATAAATCAAATACATCATTGAAATTATCTCCCTTACACTGCTTTTAAATTATGTATAAAGTAATGGTTAATGAACAATAAAGATAATCTAAAACAGTGTAAGGGAGGTAATCCAAATACAACGTTTTGGTTACTTCCCTTACACTGCTTTTAAATTATGTTTAAAGAAATGCATATTTATAAAGGAAGACCAGTAAAAATATCTGCAAATGTTTTCATCTTTTTTTTTTACAAAAAAATCCATATGAAAGATTTGACACTATATTTTTATTAATTCTATTATAAAATAGATTAAGTTAGCACTATGGTAAATTTAAATGGGTAATTATGGTTGCCAACTCCATTGGAAATTTGAATTGAGATTATGACCATATCTTGAGGGAAAGAATTTTTTTGGGGGAAAAAGTGGGGGGGGGGGGATAAAAAGAAATTGTGGGGGGCCAATTTTTTCTCATTTCAGATTTCAGAAATTAAAAAGAATTATTCTTCAAATATTATTTTTTTTTCAAATTTCAAATATTGAAAAATTTCAAGAAGTAATCTTTAATTGCACAGTATGGCGCATTAGATTTGTAAAATCTTTGATCACATTTATTTATTTGTTATGCCGAATCTAACAGTGTATTTAGATTTTTAATTTTGGGTCCAGTTTTCAAATTGGTCTACATTAATGTCCAAAGGGTCCAAAATTAAACTTTGTTTGATTTTAGCAAAAATTGAATATATGAGGTTCTTTGATATGCTGAATCTAAACATGTATTTAGATTTTTGATTTTTGGCCCAGTTTTCAAGTTGGTCCAAATTGGGGTCCAAAATTAAACTTTGTTTGATTTCAACAAAAATTGAATATATGGGGTTCTTTGATATGCTGAATCTAACCATGTATTTAGATTTTTTATTTGTGGACCCCGTTATCTAATTGGTTCATATTGAGGTCAAAAGGGTCCAAAATTAAACTTTGTTTGATTTCATCTAAAATTGAATTATTGGGGTTCTTTGATATTCCAAATCTAACCGTGTATTTAGGTTTTTAATTTTGGGTCCTGTTTTTTAAATTGGTCTACATTGAGGTCCAAAGGGTCCAAAATTAAACTTAGTTTGATTTTAACAAAAATTGAATTCTTGGGGTTCTTTGATTTGCTGAATCTAAACATGTGTTTAGATTTTTGATTATGGGCCCAGTTTTCAAGTTGGTCCAAGATAGGGTCCAGTATTTAAACTTTGTTTGGTTTCAACAAAAATTGAATATATGGGGTTCTTTGATATGCTGAATCTAAACATGTATTTAGATTTTTGATTATGGGCCCAGTTTTCAAGTTGGTCCAAATTGGGGTCCAAAATTAAACTTTGTTTGATTTCAACAAAAATTGAATATATGAGGTTCTTTGATATGCTGAATCTAACCATGTATTTAAATTTTTTATTTGTAGGCCCCGCTATCAAATTGGTTCATATTGAGGTCAAAAGGGTCCAAAATTAAACTTTGTTTGATTTCATCGAAAATTGAATTATTGGGGTTCTTTGATATGCCAAATCTAACCGTGTTTTTAGATTTTTAATTTGGGTCCCGTTTTTTAAATTGGTCTTCATTGAGGTCCAAAGGGTCCAAAATTAAACTTAGTTTGATTTTAACAAAAATTGAATTCTTGGGGTTTCTTTGATATGCTGAATCTAAACATGTGTTTAGATTTTTGATTATGGGCCCAGTTTTCAAGTTGGTCCAAGTTGGGGTCCAAAATTAAACTTTTTTTTATTTCAACAAAAATTGAATATATGGGGTTCTTTGATATGCTGAATCTAACCATGAATTTAGAATTTTTATTTGTGGGCCCCGCTATCAAATTGGTTCATATTGAGGTCAAAAGGGTCCAAAATTAAACTTTGTTTGATTTCATCAAAAATTGAATTATTGGGGTTCTATGATATTCCAAATCTAACCGTGTATTTAGATTTTTAATTTTAAGTCTTGTTTTTTAAATTGGTCTACATTAAGGTCCAAAGGGTCCAAAATTAAACTAAGTTTGATTTTAGCAAAAATTGAATTCTTGGGGTTCTTTGATATGCTGAATCTAAACATGTGTTTAGATTTTTGATTATGGGCCCAGTTTTCAAGTTTGTCCAAGTTGGGGTCCAAAATTAAACTTTGTTTGATTTTAACAAAAATTGAATATATGGGGTTCTTTGATATGCTGAATCTAACCATGTATTTTGATTTTGGACATTGGACCATAATAGGTAAATGAAAAAAATTCAAGTTCTTAGACCACATTCTTTCTGTGTCAGAAACCTATGCTGTGTCAAATATTTAATAACAATCCAAATTCAGAGCTGTATCAAGCTTGAATGTTGTGTCCATACTTGCCCCAACTGTTCAGGGTTCGACCTCTGCGGTCGTATCAAGCTGCGCCCCAGCGAAGCATTTTATTATAAAAACTAGCAATGGTAGACAATCAAAAATGGTGTCTGACACATATTGAATTGAAATATATTATTTCATTAGATGAGATATTCATTCAAATATGTTTAAAGATTTTATTAATAAGCAGAATCTTGCTATGACACATATCATGCATATAGACAAATATAATTTTTATAACGTAAAATAGTAATATCAAAAGTCATTTTATTACCTTTAATCCATGAGTAAGGATGAATATGGCAGTATCTTTATATGTTGATTAGGATTTTATTAGAAGTTGTTGAGATAAACAGTCTTTTTAACTGGTGTAATAACAATTGGTTAAACTAACATGACAAACAAGAAGATAATGCACACAAACTTAGAGATACATGTCAATTCGACAGGGAACACCTGAACATAACCTTATTTTCATTGTTTATTTTCTTTGTAACAATGTAAAGATTTATATGATGTAGTTATTTTAAACATGTCAACATGGTTAAAGACTGTCAATTTATCATTCAGCAATACTATACTTGATCAAGCAAGGGAGACATTTCATTGTGTCTACTCTTTTGTCATGATTTCGTCATTTGCTTCATAACATTTTTAATTGTTGTTTGTTAACAGGAAAGGGAATATGAGCCAACTGAAGTTGCCAAGCCACCAATTATTCTTGCGAAGCCGTCACAGGAACAGGTAATGTACATGTACAGCCAACTATAATGGAACATCAGGAAATTTTTGTACAACTTTTTGTGGATTATGCATTTAGAAATTCCTGTAAATGGTATGAAAACTCAACTTTGTAAGCACTCATGAGTTCTCAGAGGGGTGTTCTCCAAAAAATCAATTTATTGAAAGAAGGGACAACGTCCTAACTGGAAAATGATTAATTGTGTATCATTTTGGTATTCATTACAGTGTACTACTGAGCGATACTCGAGTACTCGTTGACATCCCTAGTTCATACAATGTAGTGTGTTTTATATCAACTTATTACTTTCTTATTTATAGAGCATGTAGAAGAATATAAAGTAAGAAGATGTGGTATCTTTTACAATGAGAAGACTATCCAACAGAGTCCATATAAAGTGGATTTTTAGCAACTATAGGTCACCGTACGGCCTTGAGCAAAAAACAAAGAGCAAAACCTGTACTAATAGTCAGCTTTAAAAAGTCAGGACATGACAAAATGTAAAACAATTCATACCATCAAACCAACAGCCTGATTTATGACCAGACAATAAACAAAATCAAGTACGACAGACACCAACCAACAACAACTATTGAATAACATGCTCCTGACTTGGGTGAAGCAGCACATATTGAATATGACAGGGTTGAACATTTTTGTGAGCTCAACTCTCCTCCTAACTGGGGACATTGACTGTTACAGCATATCATTAGAACAAACTGTAAAACTGAGTTAGAAATAGCTAGACTATTCAGATCCATGCAAAAAAGCAACGAAGAGTGTCAGAATGCTAGTTCAGAGCCAGTAACAACTAATAAATGAATTGCTAAAGACATTCATAAACAAAAAGAATTATTTGAGACAGCAATCAGCAACAACCACTGGATTAAAGGGCCCTGAACTAGGACAGGCACATAAAAAATAAAGGGGTTACTTAAGTCATGTGATTGATTTTGTACTTACATCCTGTTCTTTTTAATGATCACATGATCAATTTAGAATTATGTATCATTCACAAACAATGGTTAAGGTCATTCAATACCAACTTTAACACAGCGAAATCAACAGAGTTTACACATAGGTTACTCTACATGTGGATTTAAGTTGGAGATATACTGTAAAAGCCATAAGTATCTGTGTGTCTGTGCTAAATATAGATATATCAAACATTTTATGTGAAAGCAGCTTGTCATATTAAATGATAATTAGATATTTTGATTTTTCTTTAATGTTAATTTTCTTAATTCCTGTAGACTCTAAGTCAAGTATCAACAACAAAGTCACAAGATAAACCTGTGGTGATGGTGAGGAAAGATGACACACCTGTATCAGGGGAGACAACTCCACAGTTACACAGACATTTATCACAGCAAACACTCAGTTCTGACAGTAAATTTTTATTGCTTTGTTCAAGAGATAATGAATATCTTACTTCATAACTTTATACAATTATTGAGTTTTGATGAGGTTGATACAATGATTTATCAACCCCAGAGATGTGATATTCACAGAGGCCAACAAGAAGGTGAATATCACATCCCTAGGGTTGATAAATCATTGTATCAACTGATATTAAGAGTCAACAACTGTTTTACTATTTGACCATTCATACATCTCCAATTTTCAGTATTTGCCCAAGATCTTTAACTTATATCAAATATATTATCTTCTTTTGCAGTTGCTAACTTTAATAAGTTGAAATATTTAATTAAATTTAGTTAAAAAAAAATAACAGCAACGAGAACTTTCATGAGGTCATAAATCTATGTCATTGAAGCTGACTTGAACAACTATTTAGGTGCAGATTAGCTGTTCAAATCTTATATTAACCTTTAAGGATTTTCCCGGAAGTGAATATAAAGTTTTACACAAGATGATTCCTTATGCTTTTAGCCATTGAGAATAAGGAAATATTATAATATAATAAAAACATTGAGTATCAATTATTTGATGCATTGGAAGTAGGTAAAAAGGAAGAAAAAAATATAGATAAAAAATGTACATTCTTTACATATAAATGTAGTCTGTATTGATGATTCAAAACTTTAAAAAAAAAAAAAAAAAAAGTAGCACCTCATTTGTCATTTATGCACCATATATCACTCAATCAGATATAACTTTCAAAACAAAACTTCTGCAACATACTAAGGAGTTTAATTGGGTGGAGTCAAGGATCCCAGATGGAGGAAGGGTCATGGGAAAAGGGTATCATATTACATTATCACTTTATTCTAATCTTTTAAAAAAAAACCAGTAAAGCAGACATTAGTAACAATACTTGGTGGCATTCTGTTTGGAATATTATTTAATTATGTAGATAATAACAAATGTATTAATTTATGATATTATCTAGATATGTATGGAGAGTTGTCTCATTGGCACTCATACCACATCTTCTTATTTATATGTATAAATGTATTACTTTCTATTAAGATCACACTCCTAAAGTAATATTACAGGTTCTAGTCAGAGTAGACTTGCTTTACCCCCGGAAATGAAACACCCTGTCAAACTGGTGGATGATAATCAGAACTGGATAGAAACTGGAATGGAGGTAAGGTCTAAGGGGGTTGAGGGTGCTTGCTGTAGGTTGCACTTCTGCAAATATCGACAATGCAATTTCCCATAGGAACTCCTTTTACAGCTCAAACTCTGCCATTTTTACTATAAAGTTTTTTTTTAAAATTATATCCTATAATGAAAAGTTCATATTTGCACTAGTATTTTTTTCAAAGGGCTGCTTTCCATGTGTATTTATACTGGTAACATTCCAAAGTTATGTCTTTATGAGATGAAACATAGAGATCATATCTGGGAACCAGTACGTAAACAAAACAAATTATATCTATGAATATTATATATCTCCCCAAAAGAGGCATGGTTTGTGAAACAGCTGTATTTACAAAGTGCAACCTGTTCACCTCAAACTTGATATGTCAAGTTATGCTGGTGATAGAATCATAAATCTAGATTATTTCATTAGTTGGTGGAAAGGGGGGAGCTAGCAGTTATGCTTGTAAAAGAAATATTAATGAAGGTTAGTTGCTGGGGTAACTGGGTGGGAGAGCTTGCTGTACCCCAAACCATGACTCATTCAGTTAGTTGAGATTGTTAGGGCTATCAGACCTACAGTTCTGGATGCATTAAAAAATATATGAAGGTTCACATCCATTATATATCAATGTGCTAAAACCAGTGCAGGTCCAAATATTTTTGGGTGTAATGCCCCTTTAAAACCTAAATTAAAATTTCTGGTCAAAATGTCTTGTAAGCACTCTCATTCTTGTAATTCTTTACAAATTTTGATGAAATATTAAAAAGCCATGGTTTAAATAACTTGTTTATTTGTGTGTTGAGTTGCTGTTCCATATTTATATAAGGTTGTGTTAAAATTGCATGTTGGATAAAGTTGAGGATAAAAACCATTTTATATTCAAATGTCTTTGGTCATCTTTTCAATGGTAAAATATATATCATATGTGATTTTAATTCTCTTACTACATGTAAAATATACACACTTTAAAATTACAATCGAGATGAACAGTGTTTATTCAGTTTCATTCATTGTTTTCTATCATTTCAGTTTTTATGAATATTAAGTAAAATTCATAGGTTACTCATTCAAAGACCATTAAAATTACCACTATGACCTTTAAGGCTATTATGAAAAATTAAGTCAACATAATCTCAAAGTATATTTTTTAGAAGGCTATGTTAATTATAGAATATATATTACAGATGTTAGTAGATCAGACAGATTTCTTAGTCATTGGTGTAATAGGTGGGCAAGGTGTAGGCAAATCCACCATTTTGTCTTTATTGGCAGGAAACTCACCTGAAGACACACTCAGGTAATATAAAGTGGTTTTCTGTGGGATGGAGATTACTGAAGATATCTAGTACACGAGACAGTAAACCAAGCACATGTACTGTAAATTCAGAAATCATTGCAAGGGTTTTTATTAAGGCTGATAATCATGATAAAAACGACTTGGTAGGTAAGGCAATAAAATGAATTCTGTAATCATATACATATGAATGTATGGAGATTTTCCTGAAATTGCAATAATTAATCACCTATTTTTGTCCATTCTTCAAAAATAATAATAATAAATTTACGTAATTATTTCTGAATTTTAAAGTATATAGTGTATACAACTAAATCCCTCTCTATGGATGTTAATGATGAGTCTTATTGGACAGTAAACCGAGTTAAAGAAGGCTATGTTAAGTTCAGTTACAAAATACAAAAAAAAATATGAAAAATCTACTCTATTACAAAGTATCAAAATTAAAACAAAATAAATCAAGACAACTTCTTACTATTTGATTCCTTGCTCAGGTCTGGTAGAATTAAGTGTGGCAGAGTTTGTTGTTTATGTTTTAGTGTCAATAAATGAAAATAAATGGATAAACCAAATACGGAAATACCAACATCAAGTTTTATTATTTCATGTTAAAAAAGGTACATAATAAAAACAGTAAACTGCTCCTTGTTACTTTTAAGTGGCCAAAAACAATATTTTACCAATGATAACAAATCTAGATCAACATTGTGACTGATTTGATTACAAATATTATATTTAATAGACACCTATCTTTGGCCTTTGTTAGTCTTGTATGTTTTTTAATTTTAGTTCATTTATATGTTTTGGAGTTTAGTATGACGTCCATTTTCACTGAACTAGTACACATTTTTGTTTAGGGGCCAGCTGAAGATCGCCTCTGGGTGCGGGATTTTCTCGCTGTGTTGAAGACCCATTGGTAGTCTTCGGCTGTTTTCTGCTCTTCGGTCAGGTTGTTGTCTCTTTGACACATTCCCCATTTCCATTCTCAATTTTATATGTTGACTTACAAAAAGTATAGATGTCATGTAATTATTTGTTTTGTCTGGTCGCTCTAACAGTAATTATCCAGCATCTCTATTTATTTATATGAATTTTTTGTTCCATTCCAGAAGTTACATATTTGCACCTCAAAATAGAGAATGCCAGGAATCTTGTGTTCACCTGACTGATGGTATAGATATGTTTGTTACTGGACAAAGAGTTATATTCTTAGATACACAGGTATGTCATTCTGGAGACATTGAAACAGCAGGTCTCACTGAGTTCTATTGAAATAGCTTATTCTACCAGTACTGTGGATTCATTTGTTTTTGTGGATTGACGAAAGTTTAAATTTTCGTGGATTTGCCAAAGTCTGTAAACAAGCTATATATAGCCACAAATTCCACCAAAATTGGTATCCCACGAATCATACTAAATCCACAGTATTGTCATTATGAAACATTACACCAACTGAATGATCCCTCCATCAAAAAGCTAAAAAAAATCAGATTCAATAATGTTCAAAAGTACAGTATTCTGGAATTAAAATTCTTCAGTGTAATAGGGAAGAAGTTAATTCTTTGTCAGAGACTGACAAGGAAAAGTCTTGACACTCAACACAAAAAGTGCTTGTCAACTGGCATAACTCTTGAGATCTTTATAACACATCTACATGCAGACTGCATATGTATTGTACATATTTGTAATTATATATTTCTGTCTGCTGTGTCTATGTTTATCATCACAGTGTACTGGACAAACTTTTTTCCTTGTAAAAATCAGATCCAGTATAAACACACAATCATTTTATGTATTATTGTAGTAATTTTTTTTGTCATTTTATAGTAGTCTTTATGTATTTCAGCCTATATTAAGTGCTTCTGTCTTAGAACAGTTTATCAAAAATGACAAAAAAGTATCCACAGAATTTACAACAGTAGAGAACTATATGGAAATACAAGTAAGTTTTGTTTTCTTTTATTTCCATTCTTTTTTTCATTGAAGTTTATGTCAAAACTTTTAAACATTCTAGCCAATAAGCACATTTCAGGAAAATACTTCTATATGTCTAACAATTTTTTGAGAATTTCACTTGTCTCCCCCACTGGAAGTTAAGCAACCAAAATATTAATTAATACAATAATTTCAATTACAATTACAAAATATTACAATTATTACAATTAAAATATCACAATGATTAGAGTTATTGCAACTTTAACATTATTACAATTACAAAATTATTCAGAATTGAATATGGTGTTTACTTGTACTGTAAGATGAAGAGGAATTACATTTATTTTTACATTGTTGTTAGTGAAGATGTGCACTATTAAATTCTGCATTTACTGAATTTTGAATGATAAACATACAAACATTAGATAATTAATATATTGTTAATCTTTAAATGTAACATCTTGATTGGAAACAAAATGAAGAACAGTAAAATATGTCCAAGTACATGAATAAAAAAAACATATCAAGAAAAATTCCTTTTGGCTTTTGTTTTTCTGAATTATATAATTGGAAATGTTAAAGCCTTTATTTGTCAAAAGCTGGAGTTTGATTTTGAGTATTCAATTATATAGAACGATTTTAATAATGCAATATATAATAGAGAATAGAAATGGGGAAAGTGTCAAAAAGACAACAACCTGACCAAGGAGCAGGAAAGGTGTCCATTTACCATGCTGTATTTTCTATACCCAAGAATATTTCAAAGGATCACAAGTTCCTTTAAAAACTATTCAAACAAAACAAAGTTTAAATAATGGATACGTTTTTATGGACAAACATCCGTGAAAAAAACTAGGGGATTTTTAAGAGTAATTTTTAAGCACAGTGTACATGACAACATTTAATTTTAGCCTGTTTTCACATTTGTTGTGCCTAATTCCTGTAACTTCAGTAAAGGAGAATATATGTAGAAGTGACTGGTTTTTGGCCTCTTTAAGTTTAGTTTGATAAAAGTATTTAAATTATATCAACATCTTCCATAGTCTGTAAGATATCACTCCTTTTTTACCTTAAACCCTTTGCATTTTATGAATAACTGGGATGTCTGGCAAAATTATTTCATTTCTTTGTTTTAGGCTCTCCAGCAGACAGCTTTTCTGATGACAGTTTGCCATATAATTATAGTTGTACAGGACTGGTTTACAGATACCAGTTTACTCAGGTAGGATACTCATATAATTATAGTTGTACAGGACTGGTTTACAGATACCAGTTTACTCAGGTAGGATACTCATATAATTATAGTTGTACAGGACTGGTTTACAGATACTAGTTTACTCAGGTAGGATACTCATATAATTATAGTTGTACAGGACTGGTTTACAGATACCAGTTTACTCAGGTAGGATACTCATATAATATAGTTGTACAGGACTAATTTACAGATACCAGTTTACTCAGGTATGATATTCATATAATTATAGTTGTACAGGACTGGTTTACAGATACCGATTTACTCAGGTATGATACTAATGAAGAAAAATAATGTATGTAGGATGTTATCTTGTCTTTGGAATTTGTTCTTGTTAGATTGATTAATAGCAAAATACTTAATTGAGATGAATATATTCTTTCATTAAACAAATATGTCAAATATGACATGACTATTTTAGATTACCTTAAGGGGGTACCCAACACTTTGACAAAGATAGATATGGATCATTTAATTTTCATTTTAAAGAATTAACTTCCTTAGGTGTTCTGTACCCCCATAATTAAACAAGAAAAGTGAATTTGGTGTTGGCCAATTTAACCTCTGCAGAAAGTTATTAATATAAGATGCTCTGAATTTGAAATAGTCTGTTGTTTTTTTATTAAGAATTCCATAAAATTTGTAAGACAATTATTTTCAGATGTTAAAATCTTGTTTTAACTTGTAGGTTTTTACAAACAGCAGAAATGTTGAAGCCTTCCACCCCATCAACTAGTCACGATAGCTCTCCTGAAGAAAACGCTGATTACTTCCCTAATGTTGGTAGGTTTCAAGTTTGATGTCTCTGTCATAAAACTGCATAACAAGCATGGAATATTGTCAATTGTTCTAAAAATGCAAAGAAATAAAGCAAAGCATCAGTTATTCAACTTTACGGATGTGTTGTTAATAATGGGTGCAATTTAGGTACTCCTAATTACGGATTCTAGGATTGTTTGGAGGTCAGTTCAGATCCATTTTTCTATGATTCAGTATGGAATTTAGTGTAACTAGTATAATAACTGATCCTCAAAATATGTGATTTTTTAACAAACGTTTAGCGAATTGATTTTGAATAGCTAATTATGCCCCTAGGCCATTAAGTGTTACCCTTGTCCGTCTGCACGTCTGTACATCCGTACGTATGTCCCAAAATTAGTTTCCGTTCCCTTACTTTAGTTTTCCTCAACCAAATGTTATGAAACTTATACACAATGCTTTTTACCACAAAACACAGATCAAGTTTGAATTTTGGTGGCATCACTTTTATCGTTCTAGAGTAATGCCCCTTTACAAATGGATAAATTGCTGAATTTTTCGTTTCAGTTCTCTTACTTGTTCTCTTACGAATTTGAGTGGCGTCACTTTTACTGTTCTAGAGTTATACCCCTTTATAAATGGAAAAATTGCTGAATTTTTTCATTTCTGTTCTCTAACTTTAGTTTGCCTCAACAAATGTTATGAAACTTATACACAATGCTTATTACCATAAAACACAGATCAGGTTCGAATTTGGGTGGCGACTCTTTTACAGTTCTCTAGTTATTTCCCTTTATAATGTTATATGCAAGCGGGGGCATCGTCTGTGTCCCATGGACACATTCTCCATTTATTATACTTATATATCAATTTCATTGAAATCATGATTCCAAAAGATGTTTCTCAAATATTTAGATTTTTGAACAAAAAACCACAATTTTGTCCAAATTTCACTAAAAACTAAAGGGACCTTCATTTTATAAATTATTAAGTATTAACACCGTGCATAAGAATTATGGAAATCGCTTGAGCCAGCTGAGGCAATCTTGATTTAACATAAAACATAGAAGTGCTGTTGGACAGACAGAGTTATTGATATAGAGGATCTATAGGTTTTTTGTTGAGCCTGCGAAATTTATTTCGCGAAAGCGAGACATAGCAATCCTAGATTCTGTCGGCAGCGTCAACATTTAGGTTCAGTCTGTGGTTTAAGTTTTTTTAGACATTAATAAATTTGTCAAACCTAAATGGAATTTTAAAGAAAAACAAGTAGATACAGTTTGGGGTTAAAGTTTGTTACACATCAATTACTTTGTCAAACTTTCATAGAGTTTTATGTAACTTTGGCAGAAGCTTTTTAATGATTAAGAGATAATGTCTGAAGCAAACCTTTGAAAATATATTTTTTTTCATTTTGAGTATTTTTCTGATAGATGGACTTCATTTTTTACAGTTTACATTTACAGATAGTCTGGGATTAAATTTTTTTGACATGATAAATTTGTAAACCTTCATGGATTGTTATGAAACTTAGACAGAAGCATATCTTTAAGACCAAGAAATAGCATCTAAAGAAAAAGTTTAAATTTATTTAAACTGGTCATATGTTATTTCAAAGGAACAACTGTTTATGCAAACAGATAGAAGTATTTACTTTCACTTCAGGCACTTGTTACTCATCAATCTATCAAAAGATACTGATTTTTGGCAAAATAATTGTTTTGCTTTATCAAAACATGACTAAAATTGCCTTTAGTTAATGGTCAATCCATTAAAGGCATTAAAATGTCATTTTCCTTTCCAAATCGCTTGTCAAAGTTGTTTATTTTTGTCAATTTTTCTCTGCTCCCCTTGAAGTATTCATACTAACCACATATTGGAGGCAGCCCAACTATGAGTGAAATCTGTATTCTTAAGATTATTACTGCAGACAAATGCATGGCTTAGCTGATAGGAGAATAAGGAGAACAATGGGAAAAATATGCATTCAACACACATTTTGAAATAGACAATTGATTTAAGATCCCTTTAGTTAAAAATATATATTTATTTATTCTCCATCTGGTGTATATGTAATCCAATATTAAATGTATTTTAATTTTGTTTCAGTGTTTATATTAAACAAAGCCAATAGAGATGATTTCAGTATACAGAGTTATGGAAGTATGCAGTATACACTGAAGAAAGCTTTTGATACATCCAAATTAAATATTTTAGGTAAATAAAAGCGTAGAAAACCAATAATTTCAAAGCTTAGAAAGAAAAAATTATTCTCATCAAGTTAAACAAACGATGCTTTACAGTGATTCTGGATAAACAATTAAAGATGTATCTGCTTTGTGCGAAATTAAAAATATTTGATTTTTTATTGCGGTAAAGATTGCATGAAATGCAGTCAAAATCTTTAGATCACTGACTTAATAGCTATATCATCCAAGTCTCATCTCCAACTTTAATGTTCCAATTGTCATAACTACAATCTGTTCCTCTTTTTCCCAATTGTGACCTACCGAATTAGGTTTATCACCGGGTTTATACTTACATATGAGCAACACGATGGATGCTACATGTGGAGCTGGATCTGCTCATCCTTCTAGAGCACCTGAGCTCGTCCCTAGTTTTTGATTGGGTTTGTGTTACACAGTCTTTAGTTTTCTATGTTGTGTTTTGTATACTTTTGTTTGTCTTTTGGTCTTCTTTTTTTTTGGCCATTGCATTGTCAGTTTGATTTTGACTGATGAGTTTGAATGTCCCCTTGGTATCTAAGAGTTCAAACAACATAGTGCACCAGTGTGTACATTATACAGATAATAAATCCATGCCCATGTCAAGCAATATTGATTAATAATATTTACTCAGATATTCATATTAAAATGATGTTTATGTATATAATCATACTGGTTAATAGGTATTTTTTGTTAAAAACTACATACATTATTCATGGTGTATGAATCTTTCTGGTCTAAAACAAAATTTCAAGTTCAAGTACAATTATGGACAAAGGTAGATAACTCCAATTCAAAATAATGTTTAATTACTCTTCAATGCTTAGAACTGCTTTAATTTTTTTGTTGATTTCCAGAAATTGATTTATGTTGTTTAAGGTGTATAAAAGTTCCCAAAATATACAAGAAAAGGAATAGTGTCTGTATTTTTGTTCTTCATGTGACATAGAATTTGTATATGTTGGAAGATGACAGATTTATCACAAAAATTACATTAAAACTACATTTTTAGCTTACAAATAGCTTCATTAGAATTAAAAAGAATATAGTCCTGGCACTCATACCACATCTTCTTATTTATACTGGTGTACCAAAGGAAGATTTATTACTGACAACAGAAACATCATATCCATGTATACTTATTAACTTAAACAACATCACCATTGGAATGTCCAATATAGGATAAAGCACATTTTTTGGATACGATTGCTGTCAGGCAATCTGTAGACTTTTACCATTGATTCCTTTCCAAGGCTCTCACGTCAACCGTTTTGTGATTACATTAGGAACAACTCAGATTCTTAAGATTGTCCTGTTATAAAAAGTAAAAACAAACAAGAGATTGAATTTAAACATCTTTCTGTTAATTTTCTTTCTCATAATCCTCATGTTTTGATATCTCTCTTTTTTATTTGCGTTTATTTTTCAATACGGAAAATCAGAATTAAGCAGTATTTATATTTAGGGTATTATATATTTAGAATCACATCAGAGAGGGAATTCAGCGGTTTTGTTAAAATGCGAGAGTGGTTCCGAATACAACTATTTATGTCAGATAAGCACTGCAGTGATATTTTTCCTAATACATTGTGTATGTTACCTTTATGAAACTTTGATATTGAACTTCCATAAAGAAATGGAGAATCACAATCAAAGACGTATAACTAACATATAATATACATCCTTGCTACAATTGACCTCAATCAAATCATAATTCTAACGGTTTATTTACATGATTAAATGCATGCGTAGTTTTCTTGACCTCAAGGGGTATCAGATTAAATAGTTGCCCTGGATTCCCCACTCTGTTGATTGATTTGAAACCCAAGAGATCCTTTCTGTGTCTATCTGCTATTTAGGGTTATTGTTGTTGCATGATTTTAAATCATGTGCAACATTTAAATAAAAAAAATGTTGTCAACAACGTACTGGTAGAAGTGGAACACCCCGTCAGCCAAAATGGGAGTCTTTCCATATTATCAGCGTTAAGAAACTACGTTAAGAAACTATGCGGTATTGGCTTTGCTCATTGTTGAAGGCCGTACGGTGACCTATAGCTGTTAATTTCTGTGTCATTTGGTCTCTTGTGGAGAGTTGTCTCATTAGCAATCATACCACATCTTTTTTATACATACCACTTGTTGCTCATTGTTGATCAAATGTTTTTAAAAAGTCAAATTCCTTTAGCATGTTGTAACATTTAAGTAATTATCAGATGTGTTTATTTGCTATTATTCCTGTTTTGTTAAAATTTTGAGTAGTTCAATAATGAACTACCGGTAGGTCATTGATAGATTGTAAACATGTGGATAGACTATTCTATTTAAGTCAGGGGTACACTTTGGATAGACTATTTCATTCAAGTCAGGGGTTAAAATCTGTAAAAACTGACTTGTTATATATGGCACATGAATCAAAACAGTAAGAAAGCCAAATCAAATACAAAGTTGAAAGTTGAAGAACATAAAAATCAGGGTTTAGTTTAATCCATTAGAATTTTTTGTTAAATTGAATTGTGCAAATCGTTGTCTTAAAATTTATTTTAAGTTCCAGATATATATGTTTAAATGCATCTTTGCAGGTTATTTATTTTTTTCAACTCAATTGCCAAAAAAATTGTAGCTCGAGATACCGTTTTCCCAAAAGCTTTCATTCATGATAGAAGTTACAATCTTGCCCGCGAACATCATTTAAATGTGTGCAGTTTTGCAAGACGTCTAGGATTTTAACATTTTGGGCCATATGAATCCTAATCCCAAAGAAAGACCATATTGACTTTTGTGTGCTTATACAAATGTATATTTTTGACACTAAGTATGTGGGATTGATAACATTCAGAAGGAATCTATACTAATAAAGGAAGAGACCGATTTCATTGAGCCACAACTGAAACCATACAAAGTCAGAAATATTTGTGATATGACGTATAAATGTAGTGTTTTGTACTTCCTAAATTTGTCTTTGAAACAATCTCTTTTCTGCAGAAAACACCAATTTTTGAGAAAATATCCAAATTCGGAGACCGTTATTGATCTGTGTCTTATATGCTTTCATGCATGCTCAATAAACATACTGCCCGCGAAATCTAACTAGTATAGGACAATGGTGTTGATTGAAAATTACAACATTCCAGGCCCTTTTGTTTTCCACTTAATTAATAACCAATTAACAAGTTCTGGGTCAATTCCAATACCGATCCCAGTAGTACCTGTTACCAGTTACATAATCTGTACATTCCGCCTCTGTCAGGCGCACCACCAAACGGTGTTTTGGGGATTTGCTATATACATGGATCATAATCACACCTGAACTACGTCATTAGACAGGGATTGACACTTTGACCCAAAAAATATATCTACAAGTAGTTTCCGGTTGTAGTAAGAAAAGCAGGATCAGTTCAAACAGAAAGATTTTTAAAGCAAAGGAAAACTGTACGCCTTACAATCAGCATGACTTTGTCGAATGACAATACAAATACTAAATAGCCAGAGTGAAAATAAGGCGTAGATCCTTTAATTCAGTCACAAACCCGCGTTGTCGCTGGTGTGTTCTAGTATTTTTAAAATGAGAGGGTTTGAATTTCCAAGAATCAAGCAAATGTAGAGCAAATTTAAAACACAATAATTACATTGTTCATGTATAAATATACACTTGTATCAGAGATTGGCTATTTTTTAAAGTTGAAAAACGATATGCAGATTGAATCAAATAGGGAATACATGTGCAGTTGAATTATTTTTGAGAATAATATTAATATCAATGAAAACAATGGCGATCGTATCCCTCAGAGCAATCATGCTCTTTGATTTCAAGAGGTTATTGATGTGTAAACTGGGGTGATTAACTTTCAAACTGAATAAACATCAGAAGGAATTTGATGTAAAGTTTGTGGGTCAGCGGCCCAGTTAACACTTCTATTCAATAATCTCTGGATAAAATGTGTTTAATCTTAATAATTCTTAACAAAAACATTTGCAATATTTAAATAACATTTTTTTTCATTAGCTACTATTTACCATCAAATCCACAGTAACTTTTAACATATCATAACTAAGGAGTTAGTCGCCATATTGACATGCTGCTATCCATAAATCATCAATTGATGCAGTAGAATCAAAAATGAAACAACATCTACCTCAAAAATCTATTGTAATGAGATAATGTTAAAATTTGAAGTGTAAAAGTAACACTTGAAGGTTGTACTCAAATGACATCATGTTTTGCCATGACGTTAATGCGCCAAGATCATTCATGAAATTTTGGGGAATATAATTTTATTTTAATTCTATACATTTTAACAAGCTCTACTGCATTATGTTCTTTTTTATGCACTATAATAGGAATAACGTTCCTTTAAATTTATTTTCAATTTCAATTTACCTTGAACCTAAAGATCCCATACATATGTATCATGTAACAATAGACCACAGTCAAATTGACATAGTGTTGCATAGATATATAAAATAGCTTCAGCAACATGGTTGATCGAAGTGTAAACAAATGGGAAAAATCTAATTTAACAATCCTGTTTGAGTATTTATAGATATGCAAATCATATAGGTTTTATCTAATGAGCAAGTTGACACCATTTTGTATGATATCATTTGATCAATAATATATTTTGCATGTTGAATCAAGGAACTTTGAAAAGACTGTGCTGCATTATTTGAGGTTAATTTAATTGATTTAATATGAAGAAAAGCTGGTTTCAATGTTAGTATGATTGAAGTTATCATAGTTAACTTTCCTTCCAGAAAACAAATTCTATTTGTTTGACTTCATTATTAAATTGATAAAAGGAGATATTGGTTATATGTTAAATAGACAGTAATCACAGATTATTATTAAAAAAAAACTTTCTATATTTCAGAAGGTGTAACTATGGCTGATGGAAAAATTATTCCTGGATTAAATCATAAAACAATTGATTTAGATGTAAATTTGTTCCTGCTACCAAATATAGAGGATATGAAAACAGAAGGTATTGACTTATATAAATATCAAATGTTAGGACAAAAAAGAAAAGAATTGTAATGAAACATTATTGTGTTTAATGTTTGCAGGTATCAGTCACATATTTGAAGGTTTCAAACTGAGCAAGTTGGTGAACAATAAGTGGATACAGTTTATGATAATTTGCAGCCCTCACATCACAGTATGTGCTAAAAACTCCAATGCCATCAGTCATAGAATTGTTGGCATATATTTTTTTCATGTTGTTCAATCAAAATTAACATTACATAAAGCAGAAGGTCCAGTAAGGGCTAGTTTTGGCCCAAAATTCGAAGCACATCTGATGAAAGGTTTTTGACATTTTTCAAACACTTTAGTGTCTACTTCAGTCGATTCAATTAGTTTATGTAAAAGATTTGAACTAATCTGGTCATTAAAGATGCTCAAATTCAAGCTTAAAGATGAAAAATCTATCAAATATGCCATAAAATGTCACTTTCAGATGGTTTTTGTTTAAAATGTAAGTGGCTGCATTCGTGTTCAGTTTCAACCTTTATATTATGCATTATCATCAAATACAACATATATTAAAATATTAAGACTGAACACAAATGCGGCCACTTTCATTTAATGATCATCACATCTATTCACAATAAAGTATTTCAGCATTGTTGACAATGATCATCACATCTATTCACAATAAAGTATTTCAGCATTGTTGTCAATGATCATTACATCCATTCACAATAAAGTATTTCAGCATTGTTGTCAATGATCATTTCATCCATTCACAATAAAGTATTTCAGCATTGTTGTCAATGATCATTACATCCATTCACAATAAAGTATTTCAGCATTGTTGACAATGATCATCACATCTATTCACAATAAAGAATTTCAGCATGGCTAACCTGTTTTCTTTTATTTACAGATCCAGTGTCCTTGTTGTTACCGGATTACAGGGGATATCCAAGTTTTGATAACTTGATAAATTCACTTCGTCAACAGATTTATTACATGCCAAGGGAACACTTGACACATGCCACTTTGTCTGAGAAAAATTGGTAAACATTGATTTTTATTTGAGGTTTATTATCTGATTAAATGTCAACATAAATGAATTATATCAAAGGTCTCTAATTCTCATGGTATGACAGAGGATCTGTGGTAGTCTCAGTTTAGTTTTTTTATAATCATTTTAGATTCTTGACCATTTTAAAGAGCTTGACACATGCATATTGTGTAGACACCTGTTCATTATTGCAGATCCCACGTTGGCCTTTAAATGTTTTTTTTTTGTGTGTGTTGGGTTGTTGTAAAATGATTGATTTACACATTTGAAACTTATTCAACTTTACATGGGAATGAGTGTCAAAAACTGTTTATATTTTCATACACAGTGTAAGTGAAACATTTTTTTTTCATTGTATGTATAAAACTGACTGTAAATGTACTGATTTCATTCTAGGATTTGCTTAAATTAGCTTCTGAAAAATTGGCCATCAAAAAAAAATGTGAGCCTCTACCAATAAACCAATATTGCAAAATATGTGTTAAAAACAATTTGTTTCCTTTCAGTGAGTTAAATAATTGTTCTCTCAAAATTATTTTACACTGTTTAAGAAACATAAGGTAGTTTGTAGTCCTGCTTATCACAGGCCTCATCCAGGTCCCTTCAACAGATGGAGAATCATTCTCAGTATCAACACATTGAGCAGGTTCACTAAACAAATCTTCCAATTGAATGATTTTTTTTTTAATTTTGCAAATGTATAAAGCCATTTTGGTTTATATATAATATCTGTATTGTTTAAAGCCATTTTAATTTATGGCAAAAGTACAACTTTTAAGATCTTCCAAACGATATGAGATTTTCTTTTTCGTCTGGAAATCATTTTGATAGAAAAAAAAAGTAAATTGACTTCTTTTGTTCTCTGATTTAGACAGGACCAAAACCTGTTCATCATTATACTTTCAATCATGATCAGTTATTAACAGGGTTTACAACAGCCTGTTAATTTACAATAGGATGTTGTCCTTCCAAAAATATGTACCATGATGAAAAAGTTTTATGTCAGCCTTGAAATGGCTTCATCTATTTTAAAAATCCATACAGTTAGATAAAACTAAATATTATCTTGTTGATTCATTTTACTGACATCACAGAAGAAAAAGCTTAGTCTAGTCTAAGTGTTTTTTACCCATGTACATTTCTATTTGTAGGTTTCATTATGCAGCAAGAACTTGGGATGCAGTAAAGAAGTCTCAATTAATGGCTGAATATAACAGACTTTTACATTGAAACTGTTAAATGTTATAATGTGCACAAAGCTTACAACTGAATATGATATCCAAATTTTATACTGACCACAAGCTTAAAGCAAAGGAGAGGATATAGGAATCTCTTGAATGTATAAAGACACTTTTTTACATCAGATAAATGAAGTGAAACAAGTGATGGATGCAGACTCACATTCTTAAAGTATCGAAGTAAAGTCCAATAAAATGTTGTGACAGACTTTGTTGATTGTGAACTATTCCAAAAAGGTATTGAATGAAGTCAGACTTCAAGCCTAAGAAATGATGAAGAGAACTTTATACTAAAAAAACACTAATTAAAAAGTAATTTTGTGGTCATGAAAGATTCAGTAAATGTATATTGCATTAGCTATCTGCTTGTATTCTGTTCGCAAGATGGTGAATTATCAGTAATGATAAACACATGTTAATGTTTTGATTGTTTGCCTTGTCAGATGTTATGAATACTTTACATTATGGTTTAATCAACAAAATTTGGTATGAAAAGTTATAGCAAATATGAAGATAAATTTTTGCTAATATGTCAGCACAGATGAAATTGTCAGTTGTCTTCTTACAGGAGTTAGTGCCCTTAAATGACAAATCTTATTCTTTTTTGTGTTTTTGCAAATAAGACATTATGTCAGAAATTATATTCTGGTTGTACAATGTTTGAGATTGTCAAAAGTTGAAGATGCATAGACCTAGTGAGAGACGGAGGCTCTTGACAGTCTCTAATTATGGGATTATTGGAATTTGGCTATTTTTTTAAAGTAATGTGACAAAACCATCTTGTGAATGCAACTCCTGGACTTTGACTTTTGTTTTAGTATTGTGATAATAACACCTGGTGAACACACTTCCTCTGAGACCATTTGTCAGAAAGCTATGATACAATATAGGATTTTTGCCACCAGGTGTAGTTTACTATATTATTCTGTCATTTGGTTCCACCATTTTTTTTACTGGAGTTATGGGACTTTGAATACTTTTTGTCCCCAGCACAACCTGTGGCGGGGGGACATAGAAAGACTGGGTGTCCGTGCATCTGTCTGTCCAGTCTTGTTAGTGCTCTGTACAATTCTTGCCAGATTTTTATATAACTTATAACATAGGTTTATATCAGTAATGTCTCTGACAAGTTTGAAAATCCGTGCTGATCAATTATTTTTAAAAAGAGTTAGTGCCCCTTGGACATATCAATTATATGGAAAATTGTTGTTTTTAGAGCTCTCACGTACAATCCTTGCCAGATTTTTATGAAACTTATATCATAGGTTTATATCAGCAATGTCTCTGACGAGTTCAAAAATTAATGCTGATCAATTATTTTTTAAAGAGTTAAGCCCCTTGGAAATATTAATTATACAGAAAATTGCATTGTTAGCGCTCTCACATGTACAATTCTTGTCAGATTTTTATAAAACTTATTTCATAGGTTTATATCAGCAATGTCTCATGTGAGTTCGAAAATCAGTACTGATCAATTTTTTTTTAAAGAATTATGCCCCTTGGAAATAGTAATTAGTCCCCTACTGACAAAGTCGAAGGGGACTTTAGGTTTGCACTCTGTCTGTCTGTCTGTCTGTCTGTCTATCTGTCTGTCTGTCCGTCAGTTCGGCAAACAGTTTTCCACACTTTTTAAAGGCAGTGCTTTAATGCCTTTATATGTGTGCCGGGTTAATTTTTCCTTCCGCCATGTCTACGTGGGGGGTCCATAGGCCATAATAAAAATCCGGAAGTGTTGAATTCTTTCCTCTTCTTTTTGTGATATAAAATGTTTTTCGTTTCATTTCATTTACATTGGGAAATGAAGAAACAATCAATGTGTTTTGTTTGTTCTAAAAACTTTTGATAGATTTTTATTTTGTATTATAAGCAGTTAACCGATTGACAAACTATAATTATTTGAATTCTGTGTGGAAAGAGGTCAGGTTAATTTCGAGTAAAATCTGCAATCTAAAGATGTTTTTAAATCATTTCAGTCCTTGATATAACAATGAAAGGTCGACTGAACATGAATTATATTGCATATACTAAAAAGAAAATGCCCAACTATATGAAACAGTATTTAACTATAAACATAGATAAACAAGGTACAAACTGGACATAATGCACTAGTTCATAAACAAGCGAGAACAATCACCTTCATATAAAAGAGGGACTAAAGATACCAGAGGGACAGTCAAACTCACAGATCGAAAACAAACTGACAACGCCATTGCCAAAAATAAAAAGACAAACAGACAAATAATAGTACAGATGACACAACATAGAAAACTGAAGACTAAACAACACGAACCCCACCAAAAACTGGGGGTGACATTGCTTCATAAAACTTGTTCAATATCATTAGAGAACTCTAAATCTTAAATACTGAAAGCCACCTCTGATAAGTATACTGTACTATGCAAGATAATGATATAACTGGACTAAAAATACACACAACCTGTAATTAACTGCCTTTACAGCGCTTTCGCGCTTTGATTTCTTCATGCTTGAAGATATTGATTTGATATTTGGTACATAGTTTTATCATGACAAGTTAAAGATCAAATTCGAATTTTGTTCTGGTCTGATGATTTTGTCCAGAGTTATGGTCCTTTGACTTAGAAAATTAACTCAAATAATCAGTTTTCCACACTTTTTTTCGTCATGCTTGAAGATATTGATTTGATAATTGGTATATAGTTTTATCATGACAAGTTACAGATCAAGTTCGAATTTTGTTCCAGTCTGATGATTTTGTCCAGAGTTATGGTCCTTGGACTTAGAAAATTCACCGAAAAAAATCAGTCCCCACTTTTTTTGTCATACTGGAAGATATTGATTTGATAATTAGTATATAGTTTTATGACAAGTTAAAGATCAAATTCGAATTTTGTTTCGGTCTGATGATTTTGTGCAGATTTATGATCCTTGGACTTGGAAAATTCAATCAAATAATCAGTTTTCCACACTTTTTTTCGTCATGCTTGAAGATATTGACTTGATATTTTTTATATAGTTTACACCATGACAAGTTATAGAACAAGTTGGCATTTTGTTCCAGTATAATGAATTTTTAACTGGTAGGGGAATATGTATTGCCATGCAATACTCTCAGAATGCTTGTTATATGGGAAATTGTATTGTTCAGTTTGTTAGCGCTCTCACCTGTACAATTCTTGCCAGATTTTTTTGAATTTTATATCAAAGGTTTATATCAGCAATGTCTTGGGTGAGTTAGAAAATCACTGCCAATCAATTATTTTTAAAAGAATTATGCCCCTTGGAAATATTTATTATATGGGAAATTGTATTTTTAGCGCTTTCATGTGTTCAATTCTTGCCAGATTTTATCAAATTTATATCAAAGGTTTATAACAGCAATGTCGGGGACAATTTGACAATCAGTGCCAATCAAATATTTTCAAAAGAGTTATACCAATTGGAAAAATTAATTATATTGAAAATTGCATTGCATTTGCTCTCAAGCCTTCATTTCTCCAAGATATTTATAAAAAAAGATTGAGTATTGTATTAGTGTCACTTTGTGAATGCAACTCCTCGTGGTTCATTTTACAGAAAGGTCTCGTACTTGTTGGGATTGTTTGCCCTCATATGCAGTTGACCATATTATACTATCATTTTGATTTGACCATTTTGTGGGAGTTGTGGGAATTTTGCCATATTTGTTACTATCATACCACAATGACACATTGTGACACACAAATTTATTCCTCTTTTCTACAGCACAGGGGGCATTTAGGTACGCCTTAGCAATCTTGTTTTTTTCTTCATTATTTGACATTATTTAATAATAGTCAACTGGACCATGTTAGATACTGCACGATTTAGAAACAATTGAATGCTTAGGCCAAATTTTGGGCAATCTTACCCAAACACAGACACACTTCTACAATCATGACGTTATCAAAACTGTAGCTAATAATCGTGAATTGTCTGTATGACAGCTGATTCTTACCTGTTAACCTGACAGGTAAGCAAGAACAAACATTTATCAATCCATTTAAAGTTGTTTCTCATGTTAAACTTGTTTGCAACTAAATAATTTTAGCAATTAATGATTTTGTTTTTGTCTAACCTGCGATACATAAGGATTACAATTCAACGGAGTTGGTGAAAATATTTGTATTAAGCTTTATATTTCAGAAGGAAAAAGACCTTGATGCTTCATACCTTGCATGCTGATTCCTTATGTTATGAAGTTTCCGTCTGTGATATGTGGATTGTCCTTGACCTCATTCTCATGGTTCAGCCATTGCTTGAAAAAAAATTAAGATTTTTTTTTGTCATGTGGAACACTCACTAAGAGTAATATTATTTGGTAAATGGGATCCTTGCAAGGTCTACAACTCTGTCAGACAGGGTTCACCTGACCTCAACTCAATGTCATTGATCAGTGATCCAGGTGAAGTTTTCCTGGTCCAGTCCATATCTTATATACTATAAAGCAATAGGTCACCTATAGTTTGGTGTGTGGAATGATTAAAGTGCACATGTCTGACTGACAGGTTTCTCTGACTTTGACCTCATTTTAATATTTCATTGGTCAATGTTAAGTTTTTTGTAATTTGGTCTGTTTCACAGATACTATAAACATCATATCAGCTGTATTTTGTTGTAAAGAATTATTGTAACTAAGGTGTACATTTCTGTCTAGCAGGTTTCATCTTGATTTGACTTTTTTCGTGGTTCATTGGACAATGTTTAGTTTTCAGGTACTAAAAGCAATAAGGCAACTATATTTGGTAAATGGAATGATTGTAAGGTGCATATTTCATCTGACCTTGATCTCATTTTCATGGTTCATTGGTCACGAGGGTATCACCAGCCCAGTAGTCAGCACTTCGGTGTTGACATGAATATCAATTACATGGTCATTTTTATAAATTTCCTGTTTACAAAATTATGAATTTTTGGAAATATTAAGGATTTTCTTAACCCAGGCATAGATTACCTTAGCCGTATTTGGCATAACGTTTTGGAATTTTGGGCCCTCAATGCTCTTCAGCTTTGTACTTGTTTGGCTTTATAACTATTTTGATCTGAGAGTCACTGATGAGTCTTATGTAGACGAAACACGCGACTGGCGTATTAAATTATAAGCCTGGTACCTTTGATAACTATTTACACCACTGGGTCGATACCACTGCTGGTGGACGTTTCGTCCCCAAAGGTTTCACCAGCCCAGTAGTCAGCACTTCGGTGTTGACATGAATATCAATTATATGGTCATTTTTATAAATTTCCTGTTCACAAAATTTTGAATTTTTGGAAATACTAAGGATTTTCTTATCCCAGTCATAGATTACCTTAGCCGTATTTGGCATAACGTTTTGGAATTTTGGGCCCTCAATGCTCTTCAACTTTGTACTGTTTGGCTTTATAACTATTTTGATCTGAGCGTCACTGATGAGTCTTATGTATACGAAATGCGCGTCTGGCGTATTGAATTATAAGCCTGGTACCTTTGATAACTAGTTACGTTTTTGCGGTATTGTCTGCTTCTCTCATACACTACAAGTAATAAGTCGACCATGTTTGGTAACATTTGGAAATCTGTAAACTACTGTCGGTTTAATTTATCTTTTGTGTAAACCAAATTCCAACTGAATTTTATATTTTGTTCTTATGTTGTGATGTAACAATACTGTCCCATGTATTGGGGAGGGTTAAGTGCTCGAAGACATGTTCAACACCGCCACATTCATTTTGTGCCTGTCCCAGGTCAGGAGCCTGTAATTCAGGGGTTGTTGACTCTTGCTGTATTTCATATCTGTTTTTAGTTTAGTTTTTGGGTCATTGTTGAGGATCATAGGATCATCTATAAATGCATTTATCCCCGTCAATTGGACTCTGGTGGATAGCAGCCTCATTGGCAATCATACCATATCTTTTTTTTTATTATATTCATCAAGAAAGTATTATAAATAAATTCGGGACCAATGTACGAAATGCCATGCTGTAAATTCCTGTATTTTCCCTCTCTGGTAGGCCGTAAATTGTTTCTTTAACTTATACTGCCTAATGTTCTATGATGGACTAATATTTTATACACTATTAGGACGGATTTTGATAATTGTTTCTAGTTTTTACTTCTAAAAAAACACCCACCAATATAAACGACTAATTGATTGATGGTATAGTATTTTGATATATGTTTGTCATGAAACATTTAAATGTGGACATCACTACAAACCAGTAAAAGTCTGAAATGGCCTATATTTGTACTCGACTGAACTGATTTTTACTCGACCAGTCTGAATTGGTCTGAAATTTACTTGATATTACTCGACAGTAGTCTGAACCATACTAAACAGTCTGAACTTGTACTCGACCAGTACTTAACCATTTTATACGAGTCTGAACCATACTCGACATAGTCCTAACCATTCTCGACCAAGTCTGAACCATGCTCGACCTAGTCTGAACCATACACGACCTAGTCTGTACCATACTCGACCAAGTCCTAACCAACCTAGACCTATTTTTTGTATCTATCTATTGTATTTCATCAATTTAGGAACTGCTATACATACATATATACATATATATATAAAATGTATATCACATTTAAAATTAAAATTAAAAAAAATGATCAAATTTCTGGTTGGATTAAAAAAATATCATGTAATAAATTAAGTTCGTTATCAAAATATATATAAAATAGTATATAAAGCAACTTAATAAATGTTAGAATTGACACCTTTGTTTTGTAAAACCAAAAATTTAATATAATAATGATAATAATAAAACTTTCATAGCAATCCTTGATAACCTTTTAAAAAAGGAAACGTATTCCAAAGTTGCAGTAGAAATTTATTTTTAATTAAATTTAAATACGTT